GACGCGAGGACGCCGTCACCGTCGCCGGCGCAATCAGCATCGGCGCCCGCACTGGCCGCGCCTCCGTCGTTGCCAACATCGTCGCCCGCATCGCTACTATCATCATCGCGTCTACCGTTGTCGACATTGCCATGATACCGCGCCCGCCCCAGTCGCCGACTCGCAGTGAAGTGCCTGCTGGGATGTGCCCAGCAATCAGCGCCAACACGGCCGCGTCGGTCGCGCCAAAGTAGCTGGCCGCTGCGCGCGCGAGCATGCGCGGGCTGTCGCGGCCGCAAAAATGCACCAACCAGCGCCAAGCACTCATCGCAATCACCGCCGCATGGAGCGTGCAAACCAGGTTGCGGGTGGGCGGGTGGGATGTTTGCGCGAGCAGTGGAGTGGACATCTTCAAGTTAAACATTGGTGGATTGCACCACATCAGTTGCACCTCGTAGCATGCTAGCACACACTCTTTGGGACATGCATACGCATGACCTGGAACCACGCGCGCCCTTCGCGCGCTGAATTTCTAGCGCAGTTCATGTCGCTGTCATGTAACGCAGGTGAAGCAGTCCTGGGCCTCCCCTTGCCCTCCCCCCTCCCGGTCCTAATCGTCACAGCGGCCGCCCGAGGCTCCAATTCATGGCCCCGAAAATCAATTGGAGTGGGGGGAGGGGGGGGGATGAGGAAGAGAGGAGGGGGGATCGAGGATCGATGGGGACCGAAGTTTTGAAAGAGGTTCTGGGGGGCTCTTGGGAAGCCTCTGGGACCCTACTGAAAGCCTATTGGAGGTCTCTGGGGGCCTCTGGGAGCTTTCTTGGGGCGCATTGGTGGCGTTGCGGGGGCCTTGGGACTCCAGGGGGACTCTCTTGAGGCCGTCTTGGTGCGTTTTGTGCCCTCGTTGGGGAACTCGTGGGCCGTCTTGAGTCTTGGGGCCGTCTTGAACTGGTCCTAGGAACCAGCGCCAGAGCAGCCGTGACGCCCGAGATTCATTCAAGCGTGTCGGCGTAGCGTTGGACGGCGACCTGGCCAGGACCTGAGTAGTTGTCCTGTTTCGAATTATCCCCATCATCCGCCGCAGCGTCAACGTTCTCTGCTGATCCTACTCGTTTTGGCGGCGAGCGAGGGGGAGAAGTGAGAAGAAGAAGGCCTTCACAGAAGGCGGCGGGACTTCTCAGAACCCCTCGCGCCTTCTGAGAAGATTTTCTTGTTTTCGGGGAAGGCTTAAGAAACTTCTCAGAAGGCCGGGGGACTTCCGAGACTTCTGAGAAGGCCCGCCCCTTCTCACTTCTCCCCCTCGCTCGCCGCCGATCCTTGTCAAGAATGCATCAGGGAAGGGGTTGAGCACGATCTCTGAAGCATTCGAAATCATTCTGGGTGGTCATCCAGGGTGGAACTGAAACAAATCATGTTATGAACGAGCGCCTGGGCAGCGGTGGCCTCCCACATCAGCTTAAGCGTGCCATGTGCGCGCTGGGATCGAAGTCGGAGATGCCGCTCGAGGACCTCTAAGAAGCAATGTTGAAGCCTTCTGGGGTCGTTGGGCGGCCTCTTTGGGCCCCTTCGTGGGCCTCTTCCAAGCCTCTTGCGGGCATCTTGTGGCCCACTTGGGGGCTTTCGGGGGCTTGCTGACGGTCTCGGGGATCCTCTTGGAGCGGAGGGCTCGAAATGTCGGTTCAAGCTCCTCCTCTTGGGCCCATCTTGGGCTCCTCTTGCGGCCCTCTTGGGCCGTCCTGGGCGCCTCTTGGACCGTCGTCTTGGGACCCTCTCTTGGTCTGTCTTGGGGGCCTCTTGGGGGCCTCTTGGGCTGTTTTGGGGCGATCTTGGGGACTCGTGGGCCGTCATGGACGCAGTTAAGAGCCCAAAAATGGATCTGCTAAGATGCACGGCTTCCCCCCAAAAAGACGGGAACGAGTTGGGCCTCTGTGGGTCCTCTTTGGGGGGCTACTGGAGCTTTCTTGGGGCGGATTGGGAGCATCCTGAGCCGTGTTGAGGCCATCTTGGAGCGCTCGTGGGCCGTCTTGGGGGCCTCTCGGCCGCTCTTCGGTGCCTCTTGGGGCCCTGTGGCCACGTCGGAAATACTCTGGGCCATCTTGGAGTCATGTGAAGCTGAGGGCCCCCTGGTGGGGAATAGTATGAGCGTATACCGCGGTGGGCCCGGACCCCGGGCTGGGGGACCAGTATGCATCAAAACATGTGTGTATATACACATAAACATAAACGTGTATACAGATATAAAGATGTGAGTACGAAAGATGTATATGCATACATGTGTGCATGCACATCTATACATACATACATTTATGCATACATGCATACATGCATGCATGCATACCTATTTACATACACAAATACATACAAACATACATGCACCGACTCACATCCATACATATTTACGTACATACATGCATGCATACATACACCCATCCATCCATCCATCCATACATGCGTTAAACACACATCCTCGCATACATGTATGTATGTACGCATGTTGTACGTGTATCTGTGTGCGCGTGTGCGCGTGTGTGTGTGTGTGTGGGTGTGTGTGTGTGCGATTGTGTGTATGTGTGTGTGCGCGCGTGCGCACGTGTGTGCGTGTGCGTGTGCGTGTGCGTCTGTGTGTGTGTGCGTGTGCGTGTGCGTGTGCGTGTGCGTGTTCGTGCGTGCGTGTGCGTGTGCGTGTGCGTGTGCGTGTGCGTGAGCGTGTGCGTGTGCGTGTGCGTGCGCGTGTGCGTGTGCGATTGCGTGTGAGCGTGCGTGTGCGCTGCGTGTGCGTGTGCGCGTGCGTGTGCGGTTGAGCGTGCGTGTGCGTGTGCGTGTGCGTGTACGGGTGCGTGTGCGCGTGCGCGTGCGTGTGCGTGTGCGTGTGCGTGCGTGCGTACGTGCGTGTGCGTGTGCGTGTGCGCGTGCGTGCGTGTGTGCGTGTGTTTGCGAGCGTGCGTACGTGCGTGCGTGCGTGCGTGAATATGTGTGTGTGTGTGGGTTTATGTTTGTGTTTGTGTCTCCCATCCTCCTCTCTCTCTTGCCCTTTTTGCACGCAGCATTCGTGCGGAAGGCATCAGCAGTAGTCTCAGAGTAAAACATTTAAACTGGCGGTTGCCTGCATAAAAGGGCATCTTTTCAGAAGAACCCCGATGGCTCAGACCACCCGGAAGGCTACCGAGAAGAGCCGTAGTGGCTCAGACCACGCGGGGAGCCAATGCCACTTCCAAACTTGAGGCCTCAGCTGCCTGGGTAAGCAGACCTTTGCTCAGAAGAACCCCGAAGGCTCAGACCACACGGAGGGCTAATATGAAGAGCCCCAATGGCTCAGACCACACGGGGGGCCAATACCACTTCCAACCGAACTGGTAGGCAGCGGGGGATGTAAAGCCAAAAACGTCCGTTCGGGTTCCTTCTCTGGGCCCCCGCTTGGGGTCGTCTTGGAGGACTCTTGAGCCGTCAGGGGGGTCTCTTGAGCCGTCTTGGCGCCCTACTTGGCCGTCTTGGAAGGGTTTTGGAAGCCTGTTGGGCATTTTGGGGGCCGTCTTGGAGGGCTGGAAGACAGAAAAAACGAGAGCCGGAAAATCCTGCAAACACATGTGGGGAATATTTGGTTTGGGCCTGGCAAATCTCTCGTGGGGGTCCTCTCGGAGCCTTCTGGGAACGTCTTGGGGGCCTCCAGGGCCATCTTCAGGTCAGAATGTGTCATCTTGGAGCGCTCGTGGGCAATCTCGGGTGTTCTTGGCGCCTCCTCGGTGTCTTGGGGCCTCTGTGGCCGCGTGGGAACTACTCGGGACCGTCTTGGGGCCATGTGAAGCCCTCCCAGGCCCCCCCAGGGGGGGTGATACGGGCGCAACCCGGTAACCCGGATGTTCTGGAGGCGGTCTGGGGCCCGGCGCTGGCGACCCCGCATTCACCCATATCACGTAGACCTACACACATACACGCTGCAACGCAACCACGAGGAGGGCCCAGGGCAGCCTAAGGGGGGATGCGCTAGAGCCGCCAAATGAACCTGGCAAAACCATGCTGAGGATCTCTTTGGATGCCGTGTTGGGGCGCTCTTGGAAAGCTTTCTGGTCATACTTAGAGCCCTTGCAGGGGCGTCTTGATGCGTCTGGGGGATTTGGGGGGGCCCCTCAGGGGCTCCTAAGGCCTCTTGGAAGCCGCGTGGGGCCCTGTTGGCGGTTTCGGGCCCGTCTTCGGGGGTTGGGTTTGCTGCCTGAATTCGGGTTCCTCCTCTTGGGCCCCTCTTGGGGCTCTCATGGAGCGCTCTTGGATTGAATGTGGGGCCCTCTGGGCTGCCTTGGCGCCCTGTCGGGGGTCTCTTGGGCCGGCTTGTGATTTTACAAAGTTGGAACCGCGAACAAGCGAGAGCTCCAAAACCGTTGACAAAACCAATGGCGAATCAATAGTTATTGCCTCATGCGCGACTTCTTGTCGTCCCCGTAAGCCATGCTGGACGCCTAAGGTGGGGCCAGAAAAAGGTATGCTGACCGGGGCCCAAGAGAGCACTGGGAGGGAGGGAAGTTTGGGAGGTTGTGCAGAGCCAGGGCAGATTACGACTTGGCAGCACATAACAACTTAAGGGTACCATAACAACTTAAGGGTACAGCAATTACAGCTGCCTGGGGCCATCAGTTTGGGACCTTGTGCGTCGGCACGTACGTGCGATGCGCCTGCGCTTGTCCACGCCATTGCGTATGCGCGAGTGTATGTGCAGCTGTGTTCATCTCTCTCTCTCTCTCTCTTTCGGATTCTCTCCTGTTGGCTCCAGCGCCTCGTGGCTGAAGAAGGGAACAGGGTTGGAGAAGAGGTCCTGGCAAGTTCGTGCCTTGACAATTTGCGCACTGGCTTCTGACACTGCGTGGGCGGTTCTACCACAAACGATCGCGGCTGTCAGATAGGGCCGATTGTTTGATGGCGGCCGATTCTGGGCCACCAGCGGCGTTCATCCTTGAAGGCCACAGCCGCGTCAACGCAGCGCGAACTTACCGCAGGCGCGCCTTTCTTATTCCCTCCGTCGCGCAGCCTGCCTGGAAATCACTTCGAAGGAACTGCACGGGGTGACAGTTCACGCCAAGGACGTGCGCGATTGTAGGGCAGCCCCCATGGCAGATATCCGGTGCCACCTGCGGTGCGGAACGAGAGAAATGCGACAACAACAGCAGAAAAAGAGCAGGGGGGCGGGGGACTTACCGAATTCCGAAACAAGAGGCCCCCCATGTCGAAGGTCTGTTACGGCATGCTTGAACAAACATCGGCGCACCCTCGGACCGTGACATATTGGACGAATATTCCCCAATCAGTGCTTGCGCTGAAAGGGTCCTCGCGGATGTTGAAGGATTTGGCGAAAGTGTCCCGCCGATTTTGGTTGCTGGCTGGCTTCCAGGGTTCCCAGTTCTGGGTTCCCGGGTTCCCGGTTCGGGGTTCTGGGCCGATGTCGGAGGGCGGCGAGGTTTCTGGGTTCCTGGGTTCCTGGTCGATCTTCTTATCGATCGGTCTCACCATCGATCTCATTACCCACTTCTCTATCGATCCCACCATCGATCTCACAATCGATATCACGATGGATCTCACAAGTGATCTCACTAGAGATCGCATGAGCGATCTCGCGATGGACCTTACGACTGATCTCATTGAAACGATGTCACTCCCGGTCTCACGATCGACCTTACAATGGTCCTCACTATCGATTCCACGATCGATCTCATTGAATCGATCTCACAATCGATCTCAAATTCCATAGCTTTACATTTCAATGCGTTCACGGATTGGGTTTTCGAGGGTGAAATTGGAGGCCTCCTAGAAGGGGGTTCGAAGAGATGGGGTCGGAGGATCGCGCCGCACCGCCAATGCATCGGCGATACATCGGCAATACATTGGCGACGCATCGGCGGGCGCCATCGGTGTGGAGAGAGTCGGGCTCTATACCGAACCGCATCGGCGATGTATCGGCGATGCGGCGTGATCCTGCGACCCTCACCCACTCGGACCCCAGCTGGCAGGTACCGCCGACACGGTTCGATGTGAACCCCGATGTCTCCACGCTGACGGCGCCCATACATCGCCGACGTCACTGATGCATCGCCAATGCATCGCCGCGTGAAAGCCAGGGTGCCAGGATGCAGCGACTCTGCGCTGCAACAGCGCACTGCCACTGGACGCCAGGGCGGCCAGGACGCCGGAGCGGCCCACGGGGGGCCCGGTGCGGCATGGCCCGGCGGCGAAGGGGGGGAGGGGGCGGATGCCTGGCCCGGGGGGGGGATTGGCGAGGCTTGCTCGGCCTCGCCACGGCGTGGCTGGGGGGGGGGAGCGCGCGGGGGAGAGAGGCAGGGGGGGCGGAAGAAAGAGGGGGAGGGGGATTAGGAGAGCGCAGCACTTCGGACAGCGTCACCGCCCCGGCCCCCTGGCCCCCGAGCCACACATGCTCAAGGCGGACCCGCCCCACAAAGCGAGAGGCTCCGCATGCTGAACAGCGGTGGGTGGACGACTTACTCCCTGGCGCGGACGGGAGGGTCCTCGGCTGGAAAAGCGCGTTAGCGGTGACCAGACCACGCGGAGGCCCGTCTGCGCCACCGCGCGAAGAGTCCACTGACCTTAGGCGCGCGTTGGCGCGCACGCCCCAGCGCCCAGCGAAGAGAAGCACCGCCTTGTGGTATCCCCCGCAGCGGCCTAACAAAGAGAGTTACTGAAAAGCTGCCAACAGTTCGCGCAGGCCTCAGAAGTGAAGGTAGCTCTGACGTGCTACTGTTGGGCACCAAACCGCGCCTGGTCGCTCGTCTGTGGCAATGCCCAAGGGCAGGCGGGCGATCGGGCCTGATGAAGGGCGATCCAGGCGGTCTGCGTTCATTGCGCGCGAGGGTGGAAGCGGCGCTCCCCGACGCGCTGGCCCCCGACCAGTGGTCGGACCCCGCGTCCCACCCCGTGGGCCACAGCGGTTCGCGGAAGTAGAGCGAAGCCGCATCTCACCTCCATGGGCCAAGGCGGCTCTTGGAAGGAAACCGACGCACGCACCCCAACCCCAACGGGCCACTGCGGATCGGCGAAGTACTGGACCATGGACCGGATAGGACTCGGGGCGGCTAACGTCCCGTGCATGGTCGTCAGGGTCGAGCTATTGCTCCTGGTCGCGTTGCTCACCGATTCGCGGCTGGCCCCGGCCGTGGTGGCCAGCGCCACGGCACTCGATCTGGCACTCCCCGACGTAATGCATATCGTCGAGGTGCCAACAACCTTCGCGCAGCTCGACGGCGTGGCACTCGAGGCAGTGCCCGTCCAGTTGACGCACGACGAAGCGATGGCGCGCATGGTTGCGCTGTTCGACGGCGCGCTGCCGGCGCCCGCCGTGGCGGTCAGCGACGTGCTGCACAAGGTCGAGATGTGATTAGAGAAGGGAATACTCACCGCACTCGTGGTCGTCGGGGTCGAGCTGCCGCTCCTGGGCGCGCTGCTCAACGACGTGGCGCCAGCGCCCGCGCGCTCCCCGCTCGTCGGCATCAGAGTCAAGCTGCTGCTTTCGGGCATGCTGCTCGATGTTGGGGCACCGCTGCCCGCGGGAGTGCTGCTCAGCCGCGCGGTGCCCGAGGCGGAACTCAGCCCGCCCGCGGCCGTCGGGGCGCACCTGAAGCTCGCTGACGCGCTGCTCAAAGTTGCGCAGCCCGTGCCAGCAGCGGCGCACGGCGACGCGGCGCTGGAGACGGCGCCCGCCCCACGCGCAGGCCGCGCAGGCGACGTCGCGGTGCTCGACTCCGTCGCGCGCGACCCCCTCGCGCGGCGCGCGGCGCGGCACTCGCCCCCGCCGCGCCGCTCAAAGTCCCGGCCCTCAACTCCGTCGCGCAGCCCAGCGTCGCAGCGCTCGATTCCGCCGCGCGGGGCCCCGCCGCGCAACTCAACGTCGCGGCGGTTGACTTCGTCGCGCTGCTTGACGTCGCGGCGCTCGCCGCAGCGCCGGGCCCGCTCGCGCTGCTCGACGTCGCGGCGCACGACTTCGTCGAGCGGCTGAATCTCGAGGCGCTCGACCCACCCGCGCGCGGACCCGCCGCGATGCCCGACGCCGCGGCGCTCGACTCCGCCGCGGCGCTCAGAGTCAGAGGCGAGGCGCCGGCCCCAGACGGGCCGCTCAGAGCGGCGGCGCTCGCTGCCCCCCTCGCCTCGCCCGTCGCGCCGCTGGGCGCCGAGGTGCTCGCCGGAGTGCTCGCCCCCCCGCGGCGCGCGCCAGGGCCGGGTCGGCGCTCGCCGCCGCGCTGGTCAGAGCACGCCCCCCGCCCCCCGCGGGCAAAGGCTGCTCGCGGAAGCGGGGCGAAGCTCGCCCCACCTCCAGAGGGCTGGCGCGGCCGGCGGAAACAAGCCGACTCGCGCAACCCACCCCTGGCAGGCCATTGCGGATCGCGGAAACATTGGGCCAGGGCACTAGAAGCGCTCGGAGTAGAGCTCATGGAGGCGAACGCCCCGCACGTGGTTATCGAGAAGAGAAACTGCTGGCGCTGGATCGCGCTGCTCAGCGTCGCAGTGCTCGACTCCGTCGCGCTGCTCAACGCCGCGGTGCTCGACTCCGTCGCGCTGAATCTCGTCTTGCCGCTCGCAAGCGCGGTGCTCGACTCTGTCGCGCAGCTCAGCGTCGAGGCGCTGGTCCCGGGCGCGCCGCTCACGGACGCGGAGCCTGTCGCGCTGCTCGTCTCACTCGCTGCGAGGCTGGCGCATGGGATTGAACGCTGGCTCTTGCTCGCTACTCCTCACTGCCGCCGCTGCTACGCGACAGCAGCAGCAGCAGGACGCGACAACGGAGGACAGCGCTTGCGATGCAGAATTGAACGCTGCCTTTCGCTCGCCATCCCTCGCTGATGTTGCTGCCTGACGAACGCAGCAGCATGCGAAAACGGGAGAATGCGCGTTTTGGATGTAGAATTGAACGCCGGTTCATGCTCGCCACCGAATTGCCGCCCGCGCTGCTGCACGACCGCTGCACGTCGCGAAAACGGAAGAAAGCGTTTGCGATGTCGAATTGCACGCTGGCAACTGGCCCCGGCCGCTCTGCTCGAAGAATTGACGCTCGATGCGCTGCTCATCTCACTCGCAGATGTGGGGCCGCTGGTGCTAGGTCCCGTTGCGCTGCTCAACGTCGCGGTGCTCGACCCCGCCGCGCTGCTCGCGGCCGCGCTCGCGGCCGTCAGGTTCGAGCCGCTGCCATTGGGCGCAAGGCTCCGCGGGGCTCTGCCGGCGCACATCATGGCGGTCAGCGACGCGGTACTCACGGTTCTCATGGGCATCAGAAGCGAAAAGCTGCTTTGTAGCATGTCGCTGCCAGAAGGGCAAGGGATCTTCATGGGCGGCAAGGGAGGCAAAGGGGCCCAGACCAACTAGACCAACCAGGACCGACGGCCCTCCAAACGCGAGGCCCGACGGGCCCATTACTAGACACGGTACTCGCGGCGGCACTACAGGAGGTACACGTCTCACTCATCGTCGTCAAGCCCGAGCTGGTGCTCGCCGTCGAAGGCTGGTGCCCGTCGTGGTTCTGGCCGACGCGGCATTCGAGGTAACGCTCGTCCTGCTGACGCACGTCAGGGTCGAGCTGGCGCTCGCCGACGTACTGCTCCACGGAACGCTGCTGGACGGAGCACTGCAGGCGCCCGCCGATGCGGTCAGGAGCGCGTTGCTCGAGACAGTGCCCTGGGAAGCGTTGTGCTCAGCCGTGGGCGCGCGGGTCGGGCTGCAGCTCGACTCCGTCATGGTCAACAGCGTCGTGCAGGGTGGGATAGGGGACCTGGCGCTGCACGTGGTGCATTCAGGATAGGTGTTCTTTGCGTTGGTCGTCACAGCCGCGGGTGCGAACCCTGGTGAGCTGGCCACGACCATGAGGGTGCGAAAGATGAGGCGCATGCTCGCCCACATCGGATTGCTGCATTTGCTCACTGGCGCGGTGCCCCGAGGAGCCCGGCCCAATGGCTTTACAAGACCATCGATGGCCCCACGACGGCAAAGAACTGCAACATTGCGCTGCGTAGCACTCCCAGTGCCACGAACGACCCGGACACCCTTGACGCGGCTGCGCAAAGGAGGAGAGTTGGGATCGAGGAAGGGGCGGGCCACGCCCGCGCGATCCTCGCCCTCGCTGCGCGGAGCGTGGTTGGCCCCTTCCCCACCCTTTGTCAACCACTCAAGGGCGCGCGGGGAAACGTGCGGATGGGCTCGCGCGGGGCGCCCCTGGCATCGCCCTCCGCGATGACGGGAACGAGTGACTCGTCGAGGGCTTGCCGTCCGCATCGGCGCTTGCGGAGCTTATTTAAGCGTTTCCGCTGACACGCGCTGAGCTTCAAGGAGTCCGCGAATCCTGTCGGTGCCGCAGTCGCTGGTGCTCCTGCTGGCATCGAAGGCTTACGCTCCGGCCTTGGCGCGGGTCTCCGCGTGTGCGCAGGCGGAACTGGTGTCTCCGCTGTATCCCCCCGCCGTCGGCGAGTCTGACGTCGCTGCTGGCCTGGGCCCTGACGATTGAGAAGAATTACCCCTCTCCGACTGATGATGGAAGCGAGGGATCAGACTTGACATGGCAATAACGGCAGTGTTGCGGCTGGTCAACTGGACTACCCAGTACTGGTTCTGGTCCCCAGTGCGTCCGATGGCGATGCCATGTTGGCCGCCAGTGCTCCCTACTGTAATTACTCCTCCCTCCCCCTCCTCCTCATCCTCCTCCTCCTCCTTCATCCTTCTCCCCATCCTCCTCTGCATCCTCATGCTCATCCTCTCTTCCTTTCCCTCATCCTCATCATCCTCCTCTCGCCTCATCCTCCTGCTCCTGCTCCATCCTTATCCTCCCCATGCTCCTCTGCATCCTCCTGTTCATCCCCTTCCTCACCCTCATCCTGATCATCCTCCTCTCGCCTCCTCTCTCTCTCTCTCCATTTGCTCGCTGCTCCTCCTCCTCCTCCTCCTCCTGATCCATCCGCCTCCTCCTCCTCCTCCATCCTCCTACATCCTCCATCCTCCATCCTCCTCCTCCTCCTCCACCTCCTCCTCCTCTTCCTCCTCCCCCTCCTTCTCCTCCTCCTCCTCCTCCTCCTCCTCCTCCTCCTCCCTCCTCCCTCCTCCCTCCTCCCTCCTCCCTCCTCCCTCATCCCTCATCCCTCATCCCTCATGCCTCCTCACCTCTCCCCTCTGCTCTCCCTCCCGGCGGCGGGAGTGCCCGCAGGGCGAGCTCCTGCTTGCAGATGGGGCAGACGCACGGCGCGGTGCACGCCTCCGTGCCCCCGGCGCTCGGCACCTCCGCAGTGGCATCGCAGGAGCTCCTCTCCAGAAGGAAGAATCGAATCCCAGGCTTCGTAGAGTTTTGCGGGTGGACCAGAACTTTGGGGCCCAACCCGGGAATATAGGACAGGGGGGCGTCCATCCTCGATAGGAGTGCGTCCGATTAGCCCCCTCTGGGGTTTATCCCCGAGTTCCCTCCATTTTCTAATCGGCTTGATTCTTCGTAGAAGAGCCGGGGGTTGGGGCCTGGGGGCCAGAAGTCGGCTGCGAAAAAACGGCATAAGCATGACCTTCTCAGCGGCCGGGAATCAGACGCTGGTCGAGCCGCGGCAAGGCGCGCCAATGCAAACGGCATAAACATAAACGCTTGGAGCTCCGCGCGGAGTTCTTGAATCGGCGCTGGGCCCCCCTGGCGACGCCTCCGCCGCCGCCCCTGGCGCGCTCCGCGCGCCAGGGAGGGGGGCCCGGCGCAGATCCAAGAAATCCGCGCGGAACTCCAAAAGTGGATGTTTATGCAGCTTTGTCGTCTTCGATACCCCTTCTCAATCATGATCGCGTGGGTTCCCTCCCCAAGCTTGCGCCCGGTAGCCGCCCCCGCGGCCGCCTCGTGGCCACCATGTGCGCAGGCAGGGCTCCCAGGATATTCGCCAGTGGCCGCCCTGCGGCCGCCCATGGCCGCCTTGTGCGCTGGCTGGGCTCCCTGGATGTTCGCCCAGTTGCCACCAGTGGCCGTTCATGGCCACCCGTCGCTGCCGCGCCAAGTTGCTTACAGCACATGGCTTGCAACACCTAGCTCGAACCGTATGGACTCCTTCGCCTCACAAGACTCAAACTCTACCCCCCCTCACCCTCCCCAACCACAGCTGAGGATATGCGCACCCCTGCGCGCATCGTTCGCTCATTTAAGTATGCACGACCGACCATCCTAAACATCGAATAAAATGAGATCAGCAGTCCAGGTATCACACCGCCATTGTCCATGCCCATGCCAAAAAACTGTATGCGATGCACATGCGTTGGTCTAAGAAACGCTGCCTCTAAGAAACCTCTGCAACAACGAATGCGGGGCACATGGACGCGCCGCGCACGCATGGCAAAACACTTCAGTCATCATTCTGGCGCTCTCACAATTTCAAGACAAAGGTATTCACAAACTAGAAAACACCCTTTCTTGGCTCAGCAACAAGCACATGTCTCCGCGCGCACCTACTGAAATCATGAAGAACCCATCGGCTTTTAGCAAATCTGCCACATGAGAGCATGCCGGACACACGCGCGCGCGCATGTCGAACGCGGTCAACAGCGATCGCGCGCCCACCACCTCGGTCGAATAATATGCGGGCCGCGCGCGCGCGTCTCCGCGCGCGCGCACGTCGAAATCCTTTCCAAACCATTGGCGTTCTAAGCAGTTCGACACAGAGGTGTTCAAACACACAAAGACACATGCGCAATACTCGGAAGCATGGTGAGCGCACACTTCCACATCATCAGCATAGGAATAATCGGACTCACATCGCTAACGCCATCATTGCCATTGCCATCATCATCACCATCGTCGTCATCATCACCACCGCCGTCAGCATCGTCATCGTCGATGTCGTCGCCCCCGTGAAATTTCTGCGCCTGCGCGCTTCCTTGTCATCCCCATCAACACCTCGTCATCATCATCGACAGCGTCGTTGTTGCCACCGTGATCTTCATCACCGTCAGCTTTATAAGCAGCAGCATCGGCCTCGGCATCGTCCCCACCACCGCCATGAACATCCTCATCGTCGCTGTCGTCGCCCAGTTGCGGTCTGCCAACACGTTGCGGGAGTGCGGGTGGGTTGGATGATTTCACTGACAGTGGAGCTGGCGACTTCATAATTGACATGTGGATTTCACCACATAGATTGCATCACAGATCTTGCACCGCATAGTTTACACCAGATAGATGAAAATCACGTAGCTCTCACCGCATAGCTTACAACATGATACTTACTCTGCATAGATTGCACTGCGTAGCTTGCACTACATAGCTTCCGCATCAATTTGCACACACCTACTGTTTGGGGTCCACGTTGGCAAACACACATACACACACGCATGACATACACACAAATATAGGACTGCTTAACCATCTTGCGCGCTTCATTCGCGCTCAAGATCTAGCGGATGCCGGTGGGCGGTTCCACAAGCGAGTGCGGCCGTCGGATCGAACAGCCGAATGAGTCAGAACCAGATTCACTCTCAAGACAATGATCATCACTATTATCGTCACCCACGACATTCTCAACATCGTAGTCCTCCTCATCACCACCATCATCATCTTCATTCCTCATCGTCATCAGCAGCATCAGCAACAGCATCTATCGTTACCATAATTATCATCGTCATCATCACTATCATCATTATCATCGCATGGTCGTCGCCGCCAGCGACTGCTCTCCACTGAGAGGGAACTCCGACGACTATGACCATCATAGCTGCCATCATCATGTTCATCATTTCCACCGCCATCGTAAGAATAACACCATCACCCTCATGTGCATCGTCGGCATCGCGCGGGTCATCGCCGTTATCGTAATTACTTATCCTCATTGTCATTATGATCCCCATCATCATCAACATCAACAATATCATCATCGTAATCATCCCTTTCATCGCAACCATGAGCATGAAGATCGCCGTCACGAAGGTCATCATTAGCATCTTCGTCGCGCCGTCGACCGATGTTCCCAGAAAGGCCTCCGGAACATCAGTCTGGCTGCGTGTGGGGGGCTCGGACGGGCAATCGGGAGTGAAAGTGCTGACCATGAGGCAAGTCCAATGCGCGCCTCGGGGAACCTTGTCGAGGCGTGGAGGGCTCGGAGCGAGCCTTCGGGAGGCCTGTTGAAGCTTCCTGGGGGCCTGTGGGAATCTTTCGGGGTCTCTTATAGGCCTGCTTCTGGGCGCTTCATCATGATCATCGCGATTACTGGGGGAGCCTCTCTTTCGGTGGGCAATCTATCTCAGATGAGAGTGACTCAGTCAGCACACGGCGAAAGCCCCTGGGTCACAACGGCTCCAAGGAGCAAAGAAAACTTTCGATCACGCCCCTATTCGACGGTGCAACAGTCGAAACTGCGGACGAGGCAGCAGGCGCTTCGTCGGTGAGGGTGGTGGCCCGCTAGCGGGCATTCCAACCTGACCGAATCGCCGACCACTGCCCCGCCCAGAAAAGGGGATGGGGAAAGGCTCGAGCACCGAGGAAGCGATGCTGAGAGGGCGGCCCGCAGACGGGCTGCCAGTCAAGCGGCGAGGGCTCAGCAAACGTGGGTTTCCGGGCGGGGCATGGTATTTACAGGGCACGGCTCTGGGCCGCGGGAAACTTTGAGCGAAAACGGTTGCGATATATAGAGTGCTTGCAACATGTTACCGAGATTCCCCCATTCAAACCTGTGCACGCACATCAATTACTGGGGGAGCCTCTCTTTCGGTGGGCAATCTATCTCAGATGAAAGTGACTCAGTCAGCACACGGCGAGAGCCCCTGGGCCACAACGGCTCCCAAGCGCAAAGAAAGCTTTCGATCACGCCCATAGCACGAAAAGGTTCGGGCATCCCGAAACTCGGAGAGTTACCCCATCTTGGCCCAAGCTGGTAGACGCTGAAAACGTGCGTTATCTATGAGAATTCGAGCGAGAAGACGGCACAATTCAGGGGGGCAGGGCTGAGCGATGGCTGTCCCTCGAGTACCTTTTTGCCCACCCCCGTTAACTGAAAATGTTTGCAGTCAGTGCGGGAGCACAAGCCGTTTCTGCCAGCACATCTCATCCTAGCGAGCTTGTCCAAATCTTCAGCACACACACACACACACATTGCCAAACCTGATGAAGGCCCTCTTTCTCCAGGGGGTCCCCATCATACAAAAATCGCACACTACGTCATTCACACAGCTTAAACCTCAGATGTTTTGGGCTTGGGAAGTCAACCGCATTCTGCTTGTCAACGGGTTTTCCCAGGCCCAAGGAACTGAAAACCGATTCAGACACCGAATTATATGTAGCGTAGCGCGCAGGCAGATATTCCCCTCCTGTACTTTCACCTGCTCGTGCTCGGGGAGGCCGGGGAGTCCCCGTGGATGGTTTCGATCTCGAACCATTATGGTCCGATCGCGGGCAATAGAAAAACTCGAACACGGCGGGGCTAAACAAGCTCCTGAGACCTCTCCGTCTCGGACCATACGCTTTCTAATCCTAACATGCTTCTCTCGGCCTAAGTCGAAGGCCTCACTGAATGTTCTGTCCCACTCCACAGCTTTGAAACCTTCAGCGCTCACGGCCCTAGCGACGCCGCCAGAGCCTGACAGCTAATCTAAGAAAGCTCCCTCTTTGACGGAGGCGGCGGCCATTCTGCGACTTTCAAGCCTAGGACGAACTCCCCTGCGTGTGCCTCGCAACTTCTGAACTACGCCTGGCGGGCCTCGGAGTGCTCGGCCCTCCGCATGGCAAGGCGGACGTGCTCCTCGTATCTGATCAGGCACTTCGCCGTGGCCCGCCTCCTTCTCTCCTGGATCTGCTGCATCGACCTTGCCAATCTCAAGCGGCCCCAGCTTGGCCCCGAGTGTTGCACGTGGTATGTGGATTGCGTCTACTCCCAGCATCTTCGACACAACTCGCATCGACTTCAGCATGTGAGGGTGGTCGAGCAACCGCATCGGCCGGCCGTGGGGCTTGTTGTGCAGCACCGAGAAAACTCCTCTCATGAAGAGCGTGTAGGGGGCGCCCCAAAGGAGCGCGTCGTTGAAGGCCCCCACCTTCGTGAGGACCCCCCGCTCCTCGGACGCCACCGGCCGCCCCCAGCAGTCTGTCACGCCGGCCACTGGGGCGATCGGGCCCTCTGGCTCTCCGTCGCGGCACCTGGGGTTCATGAGATACGTGAGCAGCTGATCGACATCGTCGGCGCTGTCGGCGGCCAGATCGCGTCGACTCGCGAAGCTGATGGCGATCCTCACCTGACGGCGGTAGTCCTCCATCATCTTCGGGGTCACGGTCGCCCCCTCCAGGCGGGTCGTCACCTTCCTCGGGCCCAGGTTCGCACCCCTCTCGAGCTTCCCCGCCTTCCTCGGCCCCGCTCTCATCGGCCCCGACCAGCTCTCGCTGCTGCCCTCGGAGTCGGGCGGAGCAAGGCCGGTGTCTTCGTCGGGGCCCTCGAGGCCCCCTGGCCTTGAGTGCCTCGCCTGCTTGAAGCGCCGCCTGGAGGTCGGCGAGCTGAGAGCCGCCTCCTCGGTCAGCACTCTCAGTTGGCTCGGCTGCTCCGGCCCTGCGGCCCGCGCAGCCCGCGGCCCCGCAGCGGCGGCGGCGATCGGCCCCCGCGCGCGCCGGCTCGCCTTCGGCGGGCCCGCTGCGCCCAGCCGCGCCCGCGGCAGCATGCGCCGCCGGCGCCAGCTCCGCGGGGCGCGCCGCCCGAGGCCCAGCTCGAAGCTCGAGCCCCGGCGGCTGCGGTAGACGGAGGGGGCCGCCACGGAAGTCTCTGGAGGGCTCATCGGCGACGTTCCACTCGGATGGGGATCCATCTGATAGCTGGCCGAGTCTCTCTCGCAAGACAAATCGCACACCATTTTTCCACCTGAGTGAGCACTGCAAAATCTCGTGCCCGACACCGCTCGAGGGCTAGCACCGCCCCGAGGTTGTCTCCTAGATACAACTTGCGAACGCTGGCGCCTGGCCGCGCCCGCGCTCCCCGATGCAGCATGGCGACTGCTGCCCGGGCCTCCAACAGGGCGATGTGACCCGCTGATCTCCAGCGGCCTCGAAGGGTGACGCGCCAGTCGCCCTAGTCCAGCAGGCGACTTGGGATCCTGGGGAAGTCCTCCACCTCCTCGAAGTCCTCTCCCAGAAGCCCGGGCTCGCCAGCGTCAAAGGCCCCCAAACCCGCCTGCTGCAGGGCGTGCATCCTGGCCGAAGCCGAAGTCAATATGCACCTCGACCTCGCGGGCGCTCGCCCACGCGGGTCCGCAGTCTCGGCGCCCCACCGCGTGGAACAACTCCCCCAGCCCGTCTCGCTGGCGTCGCTGGCGTCGACCACCCCGCTCGAGCCAGGGAAGCTCCGAGGAGGCGATCAGCAGCGGCATGAGGCCTCAGAAGGCGGTGATCTCGACCCTCACCGAAGTCCACATGGGGAAGAGGCTGGGGGATAGGCCTGCACGAACTTTCACGCAGCGTGGAAGACGGACATGGTCTTCCGAACCAACAGGCCGACGCTGGTGCAGTGGCCCACGAAGACCTCGACCATGCGCGCGGAGACCTTCCTCCTGGCCAGCAGCCAGCGCAGCCCAGCGTCCAGCCGCGAGCCACAGTGAGCCGCGTCTCACGCCGCTCGGCGTCCAGCTCCACGCCCAGGCCCCCCATCGTCCGCGGCCCCCCCCAAGCGGTCGTGCAGGTCCAGGCCGGCTCGCTCGAAGGACTCGCAAGCGCCTGCGAAGCCGGCTGCGCCAGCCTCTCGCCCCGCACCCAACGCGCCCAGGTTGTCCACGCGCACGTAGTGCACAGCTGGCGCGCCCGCCTGCAGCGCCGCGGGTCCGCGGCGGTCCGCCGCGGGCGGCGCCGGCTCCAACCCGGGCCCCCGCGCCGCGCGGCACTCGTTCACGCTGTGCGCCACCGCGAGGCTCCAACTGAAGCCCGTGGGAAAGGTGGCGCAGCACGGCCACCAGAGCTCCTCGTCCGAGCTAACATCCAGCCCTGCCCGGCCCAGCAGCACCGCCGCCCGCGCGAAGAACTCCGCGAGCTCCCCGCGCATGCGGAGGCGGTGGAAGCAGTCGGCCAAGTCCGCCTGCGCCACGCACACGCGGGCGCCCCCCCCCCCTGGAGCTCGATGCGCCGCAGACCCTCGGCCGCGCAGAACTGCGCTCCAGGGGGCGGCCCAAAAAAAAAAACTGATCACAGGTCTCGCATCCGCGACCATCCGAAGGGCCCTGCTTTTCTTCTTCACGAAGAACAACGAGATAAGGCACTTGGGCGCCTTTGCCCAATGAATCACGCCCCTCTGGTCAAGATGGCGTGCGAACCTCCTGCGCCGCCGAGGTGGCGACTCCAAGCGGCGGGCCATGCACGGCTTAACAGCCCCACAAGTGTGATCGAGCTCGTTCGCCTCCTCGGGACTCCGCCGATTACGTTCGATGAACCAATCGAGCAAGTCGCGGGCGCGCGGGCCCCCGATCGAGTCAGCGCACCTCGCGTCGCGGACGTCGGCCGGGAGCGACAAATTGCCCTCCTCGTAGGGCGCCACAGTCATGCGCGCCTGGTCGCGCGCCGACTCGGCGCGGAGAAGCGCGCGCGGCTTCCCCCTGGCAGACCTGGCGCCCTGGCGCCTTCCAGCTGTGGGCAGCCTTCAGCACGCGGTCGTGGATCTCCATGTGGGCGGGGGCTGCAGCTGCAGGAGCTCGGCATGCCTCTGCAGCCGCCCCGCGGCCCGACATCCAATTCAAAGCTTGCCAAACCTCGGCGGCCCCATTGTCCAGCGCGCGCCGACGCCCAACCCGCTGACGGACCCTCCGAGAGAGGCCTCGAGCTGGGGGCTCCGTCTCGAGCAGCGGCACTGGGACAAATCTTCTCGGGGTTGAAGTGCTCCATGGGGTAGTAGCCACCAGTCTCAGGTGCGAGCCGTGTCCGCTGGTGGTCCCAGACACGGCCGCTTCGATCACTTATTTCCTCCTGCGGCATCAGTCTTCCCACTCTCGCCTCTTCCACGGAGCTCTCTGACCTTTTGCCGCTGCTTCAATCTCGGTCTCTTCCTTGGCCTTCCAGGCCGCGAAGCTCTTCAAGTCAAGTGACACAGCGCCCGACAAACTCATGAGCCCTGAGAAATACTTCGCGTTCTCAAAGCTAGGTTTGCTGGAATCGGCGTCACGCGCGTCGACGATGGCCTGCGCCCGCAGGCAGCGGAGCTCCGCAAACACCAACGATCCGAGGTTGAGCTGATCGTAGCTGCCTGCGCACTCCAGAGCCTCGATGATAGTCTTCAGCTCATAGTAGACCCTGTCGCTGCCCGCGATGCTCTTGGTTTGCGCCCACTTCTCGAGCCATCCCGAGAGGGCGCGCCCCGCCCGCTCCACGTGGGCGCAGAAGTGGACAGCCGTCGGGGGCGCATCCAACTGCCAGTCCGCGAAGCTGCGGCGCGCCATCTCCGCGCGCACCTCGCGCCAGGCCTTGAACCGCTTCCCTTGTGCGTCGAAGTCGACAGCCAGCGTCCTCACGTCACCCTCGCCTCCTGAGCCGTCACCGCCGCCGCCACGATCGCCTGCGCCCAGACGAGCCGCCAGGGCGTCAAGGCCGCCCTCGGGGCGAGGAGTGCTGGTGCCCGCCGCGGCCTCGGCCTCACCGACTGCATCGTCGGCGACGGGCGCAGACGGGGCCGGTCTCCGCGAACGCTCTCGGAAGGACTCCCGCTCGTGCTCACTGAGGGCCAGCACCTTCGTCCATCCACTGCCCTCCCTGACGAGCGCCTCGTGCAGGTCGCCAGAGCCGGCCAGCATCAGGTCGCCGTCGCCGACCTCGACCGCCTCGCCGACGCGCTCCCGCCCGACCGAGAGGTCCACCACCACCCTGCTCTTCCCTGCGGGGGGTGGCGTTCGCGCGGTCACGAGCGCGACGCCAGCCGGCAAGCCCGCAGCCCCAGCTCCAGCGCCGCCGCCATCCGCGCCGTCAGCGGGAGCCCGCGCCTCGTCAAGCAGCGACTCGATCGGCCTTTCACGACCGCTGGGGCTGACGTACACCGCGACGGCGGGGAGTGCTTCGCCTGCAGCCTCCAGCATCGCCTCCTCGCGCGCCTCGCCGAGGAGCACCCGCAGCTCGCGAGTGCTGGGGTACTCCCTGAAGCGGTAGGCCGATTCCGCAAGCCCCCCAGGCAGCGAGCCACCGCGCAGCCCACGGGTACGCGCTGGTCCCTCGCTGCAGCCCGCCACGCTCTCAGCGTACGCGTGGCCGTTGGGCGTCAAGATCATCCAGACGCTCGACTCCGCCGTCGGCCACAAGCACATCCTCTCGTGCCACACCGTGTCGTCCTCGTACCACGCCAGATAACCCTTCTCCTGGCCGCAGGCGTTTCCAGAACTCCCGCCCCGCTGCGCCTCCCGCCGCTGCCACCAGCGACATCCTGGCGGCGCCAGCACGCCGACACCAGGAGCCAGAGGGTGTTCACCACCGACGAGGCACAGCCCAGCACGAACCAGAAATTCGTTTCCGCCGAGGACTCGCTGTCGGCGTCGCAAACGCCTAGCCCGAACACCTCTGGTGGCGATGAGGGCGGGCACGACAGACTTGGGCACGGCGGAGACTCAGGCCAGGGCTCGTTGCCACCAGGACAGATGATCTGAGGAGGCTGTGTGAGGAGCGGCCTCACTACCGTTTCCAGGAAAGCAACGAAGACCGCCCCTGTGCTGGCGGCCTGGCGGGGATTCATCCCGCGAGAAACGTTGAGCGAAAACGGTTGCGATATATAATGCTTGCAACATGCTACCGAGATTCCCCCATTCAAACCTGTGCACGCACATCAGTCATCATTGTCATGATTGCCACCATCATCATCATCATCGTCATCATCATCATCGTCATCATCATCATAATCATCATCATCATCATCATCATCATCATCATCATCATCATCATCATCATCATCACCATCACCAGCATCATCATCATCATCATCATCATCATCATCATCATCACCAGCCTCATCACCAGCAACATCATCACCAGCAGCAGCATCCGTACCACCGGCATCATCATTATCAGCGTCATCATCACCATCACCACCAACACTACCACCACTACCACCACCTCATCATCATCATCATCAGCATCATCATCATCATTGGCAGCAACATCATCATCATCATCATCATCATCATCAGCATCATCGTCATCAACACTCTTCCCCTCCACACCTCCCGTTCCTCTCCGCGTCAACTCCTCTGCCCCTTATCCTCGTCCTCCCCCCCCATCCCCCTCAGTGTGACCGTTCCACTCTCACTCCTTCCTCCTGCATTATGCTGCTCCTGATTCCGCCTCCTCGTCGTCATCATCATCAACAGCAGCATCATCATCATGGTCGTCGTCGTCGTCGTCATCTTCAGCATGATCATCATCATCGTTGTCATCATTTACTCATCATCATCATCATCATCATCATCATCATCATCATCAGCATCGGCATCATCATCATCATTGTCATCATCCTGACCATGATGAGCATCGCCTTCATCGTCACAATCATCATCCTCATCGTAATCATCAGCACCATAATCATGATCATCGTCATAGTCACCATCTCAATAGTCATCGTCATCGTCATCGTCGTCATCCTCATGGTCATCACCATCACCCGAATCATTACCAACATCAGAGATCTTGTCCCGCATAGTTTACGCCAAGTGGATTGAATCACATATTTTTCACCGCATAGCTTACATCACAAAGCTTACTCTGCATAGCTTGCACCGGTTAGTTTGCACTACGTAGCTCTCACATCTACATGCGCAAATGTACTGGGGTCCAAGCTGGCAAACACTCACACGCACACACGCGCACACACACGCATGATATACATGTATACAGACTTAACCATCACGCGCGCTTCATGCACGATCAAGATCTAGCGGATGCCGGCGGGCGGTTCCACAAACGAGTGCGGCCGCCAGATCGAAGAGCAGAAGAAGTCAGAACCATCTTCACTGTCAAGACAATGATCGTCACCATCATCGTCGCCCACGACATTATCAGAATCGTAGTGCTCATCATCACCACCATCATCATCTTCAGCATCCTCGTCGTCATCAGCATCAAGGTCAGGATCGTTACCGATACCACAATCATCATCGTCATCATCACCAGCATAATCACCACCGCTATCATAATCACATGGTCATCGCCGCCGGCGACTGCTCTTCACGGAGAGGGAACTCCGACGACTATGACCATCATAGCTGTCATCATCATGTTCACCATTTCCACCACCATCACCATAATAACACCATCACCCTCATGTACATCGTCGACATCGCGCGGTTCATCGTCATTATCCTACTCACCCCCATCTGAATCATCATCGTCACTATGACACCTATCATCATCATCGTCATCATCATCATCGGCATCGTCGTCATCATCATCTTATCCACCAGCAACATCATCATCACGGTCGTCATCGCAATCGTCATCGTCATTATCAGCATGATCATCACCACCATCACCATTGACATCATCATCCTCATCAGCATCGTCATCCTCCTCCTCATCATCAACATCAGCATCACCATTACCAATCACAACAATAGCATCGTCATCCTCAGAAGCAGTACTCCGAAAATCGTCATGACGGCCATCATGATTGTCGTCGGCGTGCCGTCGGCCTGTTGTTATCGGAGCCGCGGTATGTGCAAGCGGAGGAGCGGGATGTGCAAGCGGGGGAGAGAGGGAGAGGCAGAACGGGCAGGGAGAGCGGGCAGCGCCATCAAAAAACAAGCATCAGCATTCTCAGCATGCGCTTGAGCGTCGCCGTCACCATCACCATCACCATCACAACCACCATCACCATCATCCTCACCATCACCATCATTATCATTAGCAGCAGCAGCAGCATCGTCGTCATCGTCATCGTCATCGTCATCGCCATCATCATCACAAGAACTAGCACCATCGCTCCTCATCATCATAACCACCCTCATCATCATCATCATCATCATCATCATCATCATCATCATCATCATTCTCACCATCATCATCATCATCATCATCATCACTACAATCATCAGCATCCGAATAATAAGCATAATCGTCGTCATCATCATCAGCAGCATATTCAGCAGTGCCGGTCATCATTAGCATCCGAGCCAACAACAGCATCAGCACCATCAGCATTACCATCTTCATCGTCATCACCATCATATCGTGATACACGTCGTCGTCGTTGAGATCAGAATCATCATCATCATCATCATCATCATCATCATCATCATCATCATCATCATCATCATCATCATTACCATCATCACCATCATCACCATCACCATCACCATCACCATCATCACTATCACCATCTCCATCATCATCATCATCATCATCATCATCATCATCATCATCATCATCGTGAACATCATCGTGAACATCATCATCATCATCATCATCATCATCATCATCATCATCATCATCATCATCATCATCATCATCATCATCATCATCATCATCGTGAACATCATCATCATCATCATCATCACCATCAACAACAACATCATCAACATATCAATAGTAAGCATCATCGACCGTATCGTCATCATCAGCAGCATCATCATCAGCAGCATCACCATCACCAGCATTATCACCAGCATCACCATCGGCATCCTCAAAGCCATTAGTCAGAAAATCGTCATGGTGACCATCATCATGATCGTGGCCGTCGTGCCGTCGGCCTGACGTTCCTGGAGAGGCCTCTGGGAACATCAGGCTGGCTGCGTGTTGGGGGCTCTGATGGGTCGTCGGGAGTGAAGGATTTGGAAGCGTATTGGGAGCCTCTTGGGAGCTGTCTGGGGCCGCCTGGAAGCCATCTGGGGCAATCTTGGCGGGCTCGAGGGCCGTCGCGAAGCCATCTTCGGCAGTCTCGGAGCCATCTTCAAGGAGTTGGGGGACCACAGTCGACCGTCTTGGGCCACTCTGGTACTCCTGCAGGGCCACTTCTGGACCATCCTTCTGATCTTCCTTCGGTTGAGAAAATATTTGAGAGAGCGTGGTCCACCGCCGCTTTACTCTGAAAAATCCCACCCTCTTCCTCCGGAATCCAAGGGTCCCCCCTCCCCCTCCGAAAATCCCCCCCCCTGCTGGGCCCTCCCCCCCCCTCCTTCTCCCCGGCAAAACCCCCCCTCCCCTAACCCCCCCCCACCCTCCGGAAAACCGGGGGCAGCGGTAGAACACGCACTGTCAAATTCGCCGGCCCAACGGGCCAGGGCGTGCTAAGATCTCCGGTAACTGGTTAACAGTATTAACAGTATTTCTAGTTCGCGCGCGCGGGGCGGCCCCTGGGGGTCCCCCGGCGAAAAGTACCCCGACCAACGCCCGCCGCCCGACCAAGTCTACTCAGAGATGGTTTTCCTTCTGGGTGCGGCCTCTCAGGCTCCCCAGAGCGCGCTCAGAGTGCCCCAAGAGGCCCCCAAGACTGCCCAAGAGGCCCCCGAGACGCCCAAAGAGCGCTCGAAGACGCCGAAGATGACCCCAAGACGGCCCAAAAGGCCCCCAAGACAGCCCAAGAGGCCTCCAAGACGCCCCAAGAGCCTTCCAAGAGGCCTCCGAAGAGAGCCCCAAGAGGCCAAAATCGTTGATTTTCATTGGTTTTTTCTATGTTTTTTGTGTTCTGGCTTTTTCGGCTTCCGGACGCTCCAAGACGGCCCAAGAGGCCCCCAAGACCGCTCCAAGACGGCCCACGAAGCTCCCAAGACGGCGCCGAAACGACCCAAGAGAGCCCTCAAGACGGCCCAAGTGCCGCCCAAGACGGACCAAGAGGCCCCAAGACGGGCCAAGAGGGCTCCAAGACGGCCCAAGAGGCCTCCAAGACGGCCCAAGAGGGCCCCAAGAACGCCCCAAGAGGGACCCCAGGGGGGGAACACGAAACAATATTTCGAGCCCTCGGCCCTAAGAAGTCCCCAGGAGGCCCCAAGAGGCCCCTAAGAGGCCCCAAGAGGCCCCCAACAGGCCCTCAGGAGGCCCCCAAGAGGCCCCCAAGCGGCCCCAGGAGGCCACCCAAATGCCCCCCCCGAGCACGCAAGCAAGTGCCAGCGACGCTACACTATGGGCCGGCGGAATGAGCGAAGCGATTCAATAATTCGGCCGCCTGCACATTGGGGGCCTCCAGGGGCCATCTTGGGTTCATCTTGAGCTGTCTGGAGCAGTCTGGAGTCTAGCTAGGACCGTCTTGGCGGTCCCGAGGGCCGTCTCGTAGCCATATTCGGCCGTCTCGGAGGCATCCTGAAGGGTCCTGGGGACCCCAGTCGACCGTCTCGGGCCGCTTTGGGGCTCCTCGAGGGCCATTTTTGGACCAGCCTGTAGCCTCAGAGTCCCCCTCAGAAGCGAAAAGGAGCGTCATTGAAAAACTGATTGAATGTCCTTGCTGTTGTATGGTGTTCGTCTCATGGAGGCCTCTTGGAAGCTTCTTGGGGGCCTCTTAAGGACTATTTGGGGCCGTCTGGAGGCTATCTTAAACTGTCTGGGGCTCTATGGAGGCTATCTGTATCTGGGGCCATCTTGGCGAGCTCGAGGACCGTCGCGAAGCCATCTTCGGCCGTCTCGGAGCCATCTTGAAGGGTCCTGGGGACCCCAGTCGACCGTCTGGGGCGTCCTGGGGGCTCCTCGACGGCCGTTGTTGGACCATCCTGGGCCCGCAGAGGCCTAACGGAAGCGATGAGACCACATATGTTTTGTTATAATAACAAAGCATGATTCGCATTTGGTTGCTGAAGGATGTTCGTCTCCTGGAGGCCTCTTGGGAACTTCTCTCATTCATATAATTGGTTGTCAGATGCTGCCTGCTGGAGAACAAGGGCCGCTACACATGGCTGCCGGAGGCCAGGGGCCTTGAGCATGGCTGCCAGACGACAGGGGCCTGATGTAGCACCCGATGGAGCCTCAGAGTGCCTTTCAAAGACCCCCCCTTTGCAAAAAAATGTAAAGCATCGAGCTCGGCCTCAACCACCAAGAAAAGAAGTTAGCATGCGCCGTGTCACTGATGCACATACTAGGGAACCAAGAGCTATATGCCATGCTCATGCGGTCGCCACAGACTCGTAATGCAGCAGGACGTGATGATTGGCATGCTCGATGGCCTCCTCGTCTGTGAATCTGCTTGTTGAAGGTTTGAACCTTGCAAGTGCTGCCTGCCCGGGCCTACCGCATACCAACGTGCAGCTCTGCTTTGCCAAACTGCGCGATGTAGAATATTGTGCCCTAAAGGCAACTGCCACACTCCGAGAACTGTTCGCACGAATTGCTCATCCTTTCGCACTCGGGCAGCACACTTCTCCGAATTCTTGCTCCCATGGCCACGATCCCTTGAAGTTCGGCCGGTAAGCTTGTTCCCTCATGAAAAGGCACCGTCAACCCAAATCGCACATTCCGAAGTGTTGCTTGTACCTTCATGATACGCGCAGTCTCTGCTTGTGCATGCCAAACGCCAAGCTGAATTCTGTACCAAGTAACCTCAGCTGTCTTATCGCGGTGTCGCCCGAACTTGTTGCAATGATACTGCAATGTTTTGCGCGGCTCCGCGATTTCTTCATCAGTAGGAGGCGGACAAAACTGTCTGCGTATGATCGATTTCCTGCGGCATCGTTGTTAACGCATGCAAGCGTATGTGCTGCTCGGTCTCGCCATAACCACAATTTTTCCGACCCTCAAGCAGTCAACTGAACCAGGCTCTCGCCTGGCTGCATGCCCTCCTCCTTAGAGAGCCATTCAGCAAAAGCAACGGCAAAAACAGGCATGCACTCCCCCTGGGCTCTGCGCGGTAGCCTAGAGGCTCGCTGCTCGCAGCACGGCCCAGCGCCAAAAGAAGAGCGCAGGTCTGTACACATCGGAGATGAACATCTAAAAGAGCTGTTTTCGCACGCATAGCCAGGGGAGCCCTGTAGTCATGCTCTAGATAGTCAGGCTTTGCCGCACGAAGTATTAACGAGTTCGTCGCCGACGTTTCGGGCTGGACGCTACTCTCCTGTCCTTTAAACAATAAGAGTGCGCTGCAGAACAGTCAACCCACTACGGACAAGATTGCCAGAAACCTACGCGCATCAAAATGTTGTCATGCTCTTCGTTCGAGGCAACGGGTCGATGTGCTTAGACAGCGCGGGTTCACCTCAAACCAGGAGCGCGCCGCGCTCCTCCGGAGGAGCGGGCTCCGCCCCCGCCTCCGCCAGCCGGCGGCGGGCGTCGCCGTCGATCTCGGCCATGCCCATTCTCTTGTTGTCGAAGTCGAAGACTGTCACAAAGTTCTCCAGGAACACCCCGCCGATCATCCACGGCTCCTCGTTTGCCATGCTGCCCTGCGCGTGCACCGCGGGTTCCTGCTGCTGCGGCGCCTCCTGCTGCGGGCTCTGCGACGACTCCTCGGGCGACTGCGGCTGCGGCTGCGATGTCGCCGGCGGCCTCCCATCGCCCATGCCCAGCAGGTCCCCGAGGAGGCCGCTCAGGCTGTCGCTCACGCTGCCGTGGCGGCCTGAGTCCCCGTACGGCTGCGACGCTTGCTCGTAGGGGTCCCCCTGCTCAGACCCCGGGTAGCCGTCCGACGCCTGCTCGTTCGAGTCCTGCTCCTGCCCAGACCCAGGATAATCGCCCTCCTGCGGCGGCGCGTAGCCGGAGGGCTGCGCCCCCGAGGGCCCTAGCAGGCCGCCGAGCCCCAGGTCGCCGAGGACGCTGGCGAGCTCTGAGCCGCCCTGGCCCGGGCCCGCTCCTGGCTGCTCCCGTAGCCGGCGGGGCACCGAGAAGGGCGGCCGCCGCGGAGCGGAGGCCTCCACGGCGGCGGGCACGACCTTGTTCGAGATCACCCTGTGGGAGGACATCCCGGAGCCCAGCAGGGCGCCCAGCAGCCCTCCGAGCCCGCCGAGCTCGCCCAGGCCACCACCGAGGCCTCCGCCTCCCATGGTGTTCGGCTGGATCGTGAGCGCGCACAGCTGCCCGCCTCCGCGGGCCGGCGCCGGCACGAACATCTTCGACAGTGGCAGCACGAATGTGTGGCCACCCAGCACGATCTGCAGCGGCTTCATGTTGGGATCCTCCATGATGCTGCAGTCGCAGACGACACCTGCCCTAGGGTCGTTCCCGCACTGCTCGTCGAACTCCTCCGCCGGGATCAGCGAGCGGATGAAGTCGTCGTAGTGATGCTGCGGCACGAGCAGCACTTGGTTGGTGCCGGTGTCCACCAGGAATCTCGCGGGGATCGGCTCCGGGGCGTGGATCCTCAGGCCTCCGTCGACGACCCAGAAGCTCAGCCCGCCAGCTGGGGCCATGCCGCCGGAGTAGGAGCTGCAAGGGACCCACGCGAGCGAACCCTCCTTGTACGCGGCCTTCGGCACCTTCCCCACCAACATGTGCGCCGTCTTGTCGCCGCCGAAGGGCTGGGAGCCGGCGGACGGCACGATGGAGAACACCGCCTCCTCGCCGTGCCTCTGCAGATTTTCGAACAACGTCGGGGAGACCTGGGCCAGCCCCTGCCACCCGAGGCCGCAAATGCCGTCCCACTCGCGCTCCGGAGGCAGGTCCGCATCCTCCACGATGATGAAGGCCTGGTTCTCGAGCGTGGCCGAGCCGAACTGCAGGGTGTCGTGGACCGAATAGCCGACCACGACGCCGCTGCCGTACGAGATCTTGACCTCCTTTGGTTGTCCAGAGTAGTCCATCTCTGGCTGGAACGTTGACGACGCATCAGCGTTGAAATAGTGGTCGTTGTTGCAGCTGTCGCACCTCTTGGACGGCACCCAGAGGTCGGAGCTGCCAGAGTCGATAAGGCACCTGAGTCTCTGCGGAGGAGTCCCAATGAAAATCTCCGCGATCTGCGAGTGGGCCCGGGATATCTCGACAGGCATGTCACTTGACGGGCCCTCCTTTGCCACGGGAGTCTTGCTGAAGCCAGCCTTCAGATTGCCGAGCACCGACGGGTCCACCTGGTAGTCGCTGGTCGGCGCCGCGCCCTGCTGCAGCCGCAGGTGCGGCGAGGCCCGCGACGCGAGCGGGAGCAGCCACGCGGCGAGGCGCAGCGGCCTGGAGCAGCGCCGGCTTCCGCGGGCGGAGTCCATGGCTCGAAAGGCGGCGATGCGCGTGCTGGCTGGATGCGCGCCGAGTCACGACCGCGGGGCGCTCGATTCGGAACTCCTTGTTCGAGCCCCGAGGCGCTCTAGCCAAAATGGCTACGGACCTCACCATGACCACAATGAGATCCGCTGGCCCCCTTGCGGGGCCGTCAGGCTGCAAGGATTAGGTTTGCTGCTCCCTGCACCAGTTCCAGTTTCCAGTGTTACAGTGTTACAGTGCTGCTTTCTGCTTCCTACTGCAAATTGTTACTGAACGCGCGAGGGAGGGAAGCCGAAAAGGGCCCAAATTACCACGCCTGGATTACCTTGTCTGGATTTCCGGGGGGGCGTGGGACACATGCAAGTACAGGAGATTCGCGTTCCCGACGAAATCATCCCTCGTAAATAACGCTGTGTTCGCGCCGCCGAGGCCACGATCCTTTGTAAGTTACACTGTGCTCGCGTCCCCGAAGCCACGATCCCTTGTAGAATACGCCATATTCACGCTCCCGGAGTCACGATCCCCTGTAAATAACACCACGTTCGCGCCCCCGACGCCACGATATCGCATACATTACGCCACGTTCGCGCCCCCGAGGCCACGATCCCGCGTAAATTACGCCACATTCGCGCCCCCGAGGCCACGATACTATGTAAGTTACGCCACGTTCGCGCCCCCGAGGCCACGATCCCGCATAAATGACTCTACGTTCGCACCCTCGAGGCCACGATCCCGCGTAAATTACTCCACGTTCGCGCCCCCAAGAGGCGCTCAAGACGCACCCAATAGGCGCCCAAACCGCCTCCAAGGCCCCCGAGAGGCTCCCCACGACACCCCAACACATGTACAAGAGGCCTCAGACCCAACCCAGGCATGGTGGCGGCATGGGCCGAAGGCCACTAGGATCCGCCGCCCCCTTCTGCTTCAGCAAAGGGGTGCCCGGCGTGCCAGATGCTATCGGTTTTGGTTTTGGTTCTTTTTCCAAAAGAACTCTCCCAGTGAGTTTCGGCCCGTCCCGCCGGGGTCCCGGGATTTTCTCCACGGCCTCAATTTTCTGCCCAAGACGGCTCCAAGATGGCCTCCAATATGGCCCAAGATGGCCTCCAAGATGGTCCAAGATCGCCTCCAAGTCCGCCCAAGATGGTCCAAGGCGGCCTCCAAGACGGCCCAAGAGAGTCCAAGACGGCCACAGACGGCCGAAGAGGCCCCCCAGAGGCCTCCCAGACGGCCCACGAGGCCTCCAAGAGGTCCTCCAGGAGGGCCATAAGAGCAAAATCATTGACTTTCCTTAGGTTTTTGAAGGATTTTGGAATGTGCTCCTTCTCGGCATTCCGACTGTTCAAGACGGCCCAAGAGGCCCCCAAGATCGCCAAAGAGGCCCCCAAGAGAGCCCCATGACGGCCCAAATGGCCTCCAAGATGGCCCCAAGAGGGCCCCAAGACGGCCCAAGAGGCCTCCAACACGCCCAAGATGGCCTCCAAGACGCCCAAGATGGCCTCCAAGACGGCCCCGAAGCGCCCCAAGAGGGCCCCCGTTGGCCCAGAAAGGCCCCCCAGACGGCTCCCGACGGCGTCAGACGTGCCAGGAACCCACCAAGATGGCCGAAGTTGGCTCGAAGCGGGCCCAAAAGGGCCCAAGAGGCCCCCACGAGGGCCTCCAGGAAGGCCAGAAGAGGCCAAAAACATTGATTGTCCAAAGGTTGTTGATGGATTTTTGCATTTCCTTCTTTTCGGCCTTCCGACGGCCCGAGACGGCCCAAGAGCCCCCAGAGATCGCCGAAAGATCGCTCAAGAGGCCTCCAAGACGGCCAAGATGACCTTCAAGACGCCCACGTGTTCCCCGAAAGCTTTCCAAACCCATTCGGGGAACACATGGTCCGATGGCTTGGCAGGTCTGCCCTCCACGTGTGGCCACACAAGATGGCCAGGATGACCTCCAAGACGGCCCCCGATGGCTTCCAACTCCGGCCTCCAAGACGCGGCCTCCAAGACGGCCCCGACGCGCCCCAAGAGGGCCCCCCGTTGGCCCAGAAAGGCCCCCCAGACGGCTCCCGACGGCGTCAGACGTGCCAGGAACCCACCAAGATGGCCGAAGTTGGCTCGAAGCGGGCCCAAAAGGGCCCAAGAGGCCCCCAAGAGGGCCTCCAGGAAGGCCAGAAGAGGCCAAAAACATTGATTTTCCTTAGGTCTTTGACGGAATTTGACATTTCCTTTTTTTCGGCCTACCGACGGCCCGAGACGGCCCAAGAGCACCCAGAGATCGCCGAAAGATCGCCCAAGAGGCCTCCAAGACGGCCACGATGACCTTCAAGACGCCCACGTGTACCCCGAACGCTTTCCAAACCGATTCGGGGAACACATGGTCCGATGGCTTGGCAGGTCTGCCCTCTCAACGTTCGGCCACATAGGCGCTTCCACAAAGGCAGGGGGCGGCGGTGATTCGCCGTAGGCGTCTTCGATCCGCCGCCCCCTTTTGCTTCAGCAAAGGGGTGCCCGGCGTGCCAGATCCTATCGGTTTTGGTTTTGGCTCTTTTTCCAAAAGAACTCTCCCAATGGGTTTCGGCCCGTCCCGCCGGGGTCCTGGGATTTTTTCCACGGACCTCACTTCCCCAATGTTCTGCCCAAGACGGCTCCAAGATGGCCCAAGATGGCCTCCAAGATGGTCCAAGATGGCCTCCAAGTCCGCCCAAGATGGTCCAAGGCGGCCTCCAAGACGGCCCAAGAGTCCAAGACGGCCCCAGACGGGCCAAGAGGCCCCCCAGAAGCCTCCCAGACGGCCCAAGGAGGGCCCGAAGAGCAAAATCATTGACTTTCCTTAGGTTTTTGAAGGATTTTGGAATGCGCTCCTTCTCGGCATTCCGACTGTTCAAGACGGCCCAAGAGGCCCCCAAGATCGCCAAAGAGGCCCCCAAGAGAGCCCCATGACGGCCCCAGTGGCCTCCAAGATGGCCCCAAGAGGGCCCCAAGACGGCCCAAGAAGAGGCCTCCAACACGCCCAAGATGGCCTCCAATACGCCCAAGATGGCCTCCAAGACGGCCCCGAAGCGCCCCAAGAGGGCCCCCCGTTGGCCCAGAAAGGCCCCCCAGACGGCTCCCGACGGCGTCAGACGTGCCAGCAACCCACCAAGATGGCCGAAGTTGGCTCGAAGCTGGCCCAAAAGGGCCCAAGAGGCCCCCACGAGGGCCTCCAGGAAGGCCAGAAGAGGCCAAAAACATTGATTGTCCAAAGGTTGTTGATGGATTTTTGCATTTCCTTCTTTTCGGCCTTCCGACGGCCCGAGACGGCCCAAGAGCCCCCAGAGATCGCCGAAAGATCGCTCAAGAGGCCTCCAAGACGGCCATGATGACCTTCAAGACGCCCACGTGTTCCCCGAAGGCTTTCCAAACCGATTCGGGGAACACATGGTTCGATGGCTTGGTGGCCAAGATGGCCCAAGATGGCCTCCAAGATGGTCCAAGATGGCCTCCAAGTCCGCCCAACATGGTCCAAAACGGCCGCCAAGACGGCCCAAGAGAGTCCAAGACGGCCCAAGACGGCCCAAGAGGCCCCCCAGATGCTTCCCAGACGGCCCAAGAGGCTTCCGAGAGGTCCTCCAAGAGGGCCCGAAGAGGCCAAAATCTTGGACGTCCCGAGATCTTTTCAAGGCGGGGACTCGGATGAACGAACGGCTGCGCGTCCTGGCGCTCAGCTGTGAGGCGCCATCAACCATAGAGAGAAAAATGAGACAAAGCATGTGTGTGCACGCATGCTCGAGAGGGTTCGGGGGGGCGGGGGACCAGAGAAGCTATATGATGCAAGAGAGAGCGGAGCCAAAGGGGCGACATATTGAAAACCCCTCTTGGCTTCCTTCACGTGCAAGGACAAACCAGGACGTCCCGAGGTCTTTTCAAGGCGGGGACTCGGATGAACGAACGGCTGCGCGTCCTGGCGCTCAGCTGCGAGGCGCCATCAACCCAAGCCGTCCCCAAGAATGTTTACTGGGTGGGCGGGCAAGGGCGATTATATAAAGACGCGCGCCATTCACTCAAGAGGACGTTGGCAAGCTTCCTATTGAGGGCTGGCGGATAAGCGGCGGCGATAGCCGTCCATTTCGCACCACTCGGGGCGTTGCCCTCAAGCACGAGGTGATGACGGCCAGACTTAGAGCAAATACCGTTAATCTGACAACACCTACGGTCGAGACAACTGCTATCCAGACTATCAATGTTGAGACACAGGAATCTGGTTCGCTTTCGCCAACGGGACCCCTCTTGACACTGGTCGAGACATCTCACAATGGCCCCCCGATCTATAACCCCCTGAACCTCTCTCGTGAAGAACGCGCGTGAATTCACAGGGTGCTCGAGTACACAAGGAACTTCAAACTTTTCACAACGTCTGATGATAGCCAGCGCGGCTCGCATGGTCTTATTCCCGGACGCCAGGCGAGCCAGCTGCTCGTCACTCAGAAGGTGCCGTAAGAGCCCCCAAGGCTGCGAGGCGGAGCGGATGGCCCCCGCACGGTCGGCCGCGGTGGTCCAGGGTCCGCGCGGCGGGGCCAGCATCACGGCCAAGACGCGGCCTGCAGCGATGTCCGAGCACAGGCCCCTTAGGACCGTCCGCCTAGTGAGGTCGCCGCTCGGCCCGTGCAGCGTGTCCCAGAACCTGACTGGCACTCCCATGGTCATCCCGGCGCGCCCGACGCCCCCCTTGCCGCTGAAGCAGCCCGCCAGGTAGCGGCCAGTCAGGCGGGGCCGAGCTCCCGTAAGTCGACCGGCGAGGCGCGACCCAAAATGATGTCCGCGAGCTGAGCCTCGCAGACCAGGACCATGCTTTGCTGGGCGCTGCTCAGCGTCGCCCACGTGGCCGCCAGCCGGGCATGCTTCTCGTAATTAGCGGGCGACGCTGCGGGTGGTCTTCCACTGGCCGCGCTTCTGCACGTCGGCCAACCGCCGCCACCTCCTCGCCATGTCTATTGAGGCGCCCGAGTGGCGCATCTGATGCGGCACCACCTTGGCCTTCACCTGAAGCTCCTGCAGGCACAGGCTGAACATCTTGCAGTATTCGGGGTGCGTGAAGTTCCACAGGCACTCGGGGTGCCCCTCTTTCTTCAGCTGGCGCAGCACGGGGTCCAAGAAGCGAATCCAGGGCGAGTCTAACTCCAGCGACACGTCGCCCAGGCCCGTCTTGTCTCGCAGGTCCTCCTCCTCCGGGAAGAGTCTCAAGGTCCAGAACTCGCACGCGGCCGCAGCCGGCGGCGCCAGGCAGGCCGGCTTCAGGAGCAGGAGGCTGCTAGGGCGGGCGTACACGCTCACCGCTATCAAGGTGAACACCGCCATATGGAGGCTGCCCCGGGCCTTCATGCACCGCGCCAGCGCGCACCACAGCGCCAGCGCCCACGGCTTCCTCGTCCGCGGCGGCTCCAGGCGCCGCCAGGCCCGGAGGCATCTCTAGGCCCGGGGGAGGCGCCGGGCACCGTAGCGCGCGAAGTCCGGGTTGAAGTGCAGGACGCCCGCCATCAACTTCTCGGCCCAAGAGAGGTGAGTCCCGGCCTGGTACAAGCCGTTCAGGTAGCCCACCAGCGCCGAGTCCACCTCGGAGTCGCCCCGGCCCTTCATGACCTCGTCGATGTTCACCGAGGGCCAGCTCCGACGGGCAAAGTCCCGCCAGCCGTCCCAAGCCCTCTGGTACTCGCGCTGCGTCGGGGCCCGCACCGCCTCCCGCTCCAGGAGGGAGAAGCCCTCCTCGCTGGCCGGCATCCCGTAGTGAAGGGCTCGGCGCTTCTGCGACTGCGCGAGCCTGCGCTGCCGCGCGGCGCCGGTCACGACCTCGGGCTCGGAGCTCCCGCTGTCGGAGGAGCCGACGCTCTCGGGCGCTCCCCGCGCGGGCTCCGCCGGCGCAGGCTGCTTCGCCAGGCCCTCCACCACCTGCCCCAGGCTCTGCGGCGGGGGACGGCCCAGCACGGCCTCCCTCAGGTGCCTCGACTCGCCCAGCTGACGTTCCCGCCGAGCCGCCGGCAACGGCTGCGGCGCTATCGGCGGAGCAGGGACCAGCTGCCGGACGCGCCACGCCCCCTGGCTGCCCGCCGATGCCTGCGAGCCAGGCTCCAGGCGAGGCGGCGCCAGCAGGCGAGTGCGCCGGCGAGGGCTCCGCGAGCGGCCTCGCACGCCCGGTGCTCGGGGGCGTGCGGGCGGCGTCGCGGGCTGTGGCGCTCCCGGGCGCGCGCTCGGGCGCGGTCCAGGCGGGGCCCCGCCCTGGGCCCACCTGGGAAAGCTCGAGCTCCAACAACTCAGCCAGAAGAGTGGACTTTCCGCCGTCGGGGTCAAACAGCCGCGAGGGGAGGTCGGCACAGTTGAGCTCGCTGGGTATCCATCGAATCGAACAGCGGATGTTACGGCTCAGACATATTGCGTGAAATCGACGAATTTGGATCAACAGGTTGAAACACGAACTCCTTCCCCGATTGAAGCTTAGCACGACCGACATATTGTCACATAGCAGGAGCTGTCGTATGTGGGACCCGAAGACCGTGGTGGCGATACGATGGATGCTGCTGACCAAGGCCCGGGCCTCCAAGGTGAGGATGCCCTCGGGGTGCTGCCAGGCTCTAGCGAAACAGGGCTCCCACAGGCCTGCACGGAGCCCCTGGGCGGGCACTTCTGGGAAGTCCCTCACTACGTCCCACTGGCTCAGCTCTTCCTCATCCTCGGGGAGGCCCTTGAGTTCCCACTTTCCACTCTCGTCCATACCGAAGCCGGCGGCACAGAGCGCAGCCTCCTGAGCACTGTGTGCGCAGCGCCGTCGGAAGCGGGCCCGCTCAGGCACGCGCCCGACCGACTCCACCAGCTCCCGCGGCCAGAAGGCCCTCGCCAGTCCGTAGCCGTGGAGGCTGGCATCCGACTGCTGCACCATCGGGTTCCAAGGCAGCCACCAGTCTGACTCCAAGAAGTACATCAAGGAGCTGAAGGCGGCCAGCTCACGCCGCGCCTCGGCCCATAGCACGGCCGCGTCGTCGTAGTGCGCCCGCACGAAGCCATATACTGAACTGAAAGCTGACAGGGTGCCGCGCGAGCAGAGGCCGCAGAAGGTCAGGTGGCCCAGCACGGCCTCCACTGCCCAGCCTCTGACTCGGCGGCGGGCAAGAAGGCCTCGCACGGCCTGGCGGCAGCGCCAGAACCGATCACTGGTCACCCGGGTGCGCAGCTGGCTGCCGTCGATCTCGGTGCCGAGCGCCACCGCCATGCCCGGCACCAGCTCGTCCTTGTGCAACAGCAGGTTCAGCTCGGTGAACTCGCCTGTCAGCTGGTCCATCACGCCACTCACGAGCTCGGAGAAGAGCGAGAAGACCCCCAGGTTGTCGACGTAGACGTAGTGCCTGATCTCCCGGGGCGCCCTGTCAGGCGCGAACACGAGCGGCGGCCCATGGTCCGAGAGACCAGGCTCCCTCAGGGGCGGGCTGCCGCGACGGCTGACCTCCTCGTTGGCCCGCTGGGCGAAGTAGAGCGACCAGCTGAAGCCCATGGGCAGCACCTGCCAGCACGGGTAGATCGCCGTCGACGCCTGCGCCTTGGCCCCTCCGACCTCGGTCACGCCGAAGGCCCCCGCCTTGACAGGAGGCAGGCAGAAGTACCGCGAGAGAGCTGAGTCGATCCGCATTCGGTGAAAGCAGTCTTTCACGTCCGCCATGCCGATGTACACCTGCTGCGCCTCCAGCGCGGCGCGGAGGTCCTCGTTGCTCGAGACCCCCTTCATCTGGCAGGTGCACCTCGATCCTGGCGAGGCCCTCGCTGCTCAAGAGCTCCACCCCAGGGGGATCCCTGAAGTGGGCGTTCGCACGGCGGGCGTCGACTATGAGGCGAAGTCGTCGCCGCCCATCCTTCCACACAAAAAACATCCCGATTCTCTCCTTCGGTGCTAGAGTCCACCCCAGCATGCCAGCCGACAGCAGCTGGCGCACCAGGCCGCGGTACTCCTTGTGGTTGAACTTAAGGACCGAGTCGAAATACGGCTCGACGTCGGTCGGCAGCGGTGCCGGTCGTAGCATGCGCTCATGGCGCTCCCGCAGGAAAGTAAGGGCCTCGCCAGGCAACAAGTCCTCGAGACGCGGGCAGTCCCACACGTCCGTCGGCATGCTGACGAGCCCTGCACTGTAGGAGGCGACCGTCGTCGGGCCGCCGCGCCCGTCGTGGGGCGAGCGGCCCCGCAGCAGCTCCGGGAGGGCCGCTTGCGGCTCGTGCAACTTGGCGACAACATCGCAGCGCTATTTTTTCCATCGGGCCCACGCCGCCCATCCCTTCGTTGGCGACAGAGCACCGCTGGCGCGGCACCAGCCTCCTGGTCATCACCCCATCTAGAGGGGGACCGTCCTAGCCCATCTCTCTGGGCGGACACGAGGCGGCCGGAGGGGAGCAACCCATCGCTCCGGCCCATCAGGGTGGGTTGGGTGGGGATCACTGTGGGCTCAAGCCAAAATGCCCACGGATCCACACCCACCCAACCACCCTGCTAACTGCTTCGCTCGCTCCGTTGCCCCTTCAAACATGCTGTTTTCTACGACAACATCGCAGCGCTATTTTTTCCATCGGGCCCACGCCGCCCATCCCTTCGTTGGCGACAGAGCACCGCTGGCGCGGCACCAGCCTCCTGGTCATCACCCCATCTAGAGGGGGACCGCCCTAGCCCATCTCTCTGGGCGGACACGAGGCGGCCGGAGGGGAGCAACCCATCGCTCCGGCCCATGCCGCCACCTCCGCCGAAGGGGGCGCCCGTTTCGCGCAATGCTTGCACAGATCGCCTGGCTCCTCAGAGCAGCTCATCAGTCGAGCTTGGCCGTTGCCTCGGTGCCACCAGCCGCAGAAGGCAACGCAGGGATCCGAAGCCAAGTGCACCTGTCCCTCTCGGCGGCCGCCACGCTTGGTCGTGCACTTGATGAACGCGATGCCGCCGGCCAGCTTCGCCGTGTGCTCCTTCAGTATCTCGTCCACTCTCGACGACAGGCGGCTGTGCTCCTCCTGCGGGGTGGCCACGGCTGTCGAGGTGGACGCCGCCCTCTCCTCTAATGCAGCTCGCGCAGCACCCGCGCCAGCGCGTTCCTGCTCCTCAGACATGGCCGGTACTTTGCGTTTGGCCTGGATTTCCTGCGCCGCCTGTTTCAGCTCCAAGCCTTCTGCCGTCTGCCGGGCCCAAGCAGCTGAGGCTGCCAAGGGGCTCTCCCGTATGTACGACAATATAGCAGAGGAGCCCCACCGGCCGAAAAGCTGGATCTCCCATATCTCCACCCCAGACATGGCCATCCTGACAGCGCCAGAAACCCGCGGGGAGTGGCCCGTGGGGACCACCTCCAGCCCGGCAGCGCCGACGACCCTGGTACACGCCCGAACCATGCCCGCCTTGGAAGGATGGGCGCCGCCAGCCGTGGGGAACAATGGCCAATCGCATCGGGCACCCTCGGCCCGTGCGGACCCAGCAGTCGCCGCCGCAGCCGCAGCACGCCGCAAATGCAGCACTGGGCATGCCGCTGGGCAAGCGCACCCGTGCGCGCGCTGTTTCCCCAGCGCGCTCTGGTCGCTCTTCGAGACTGGCAGGTCGAGCGTTGCTGTCCCGCAGCAACCGTGAGGGCCAGGAGCAAACGATGCGGCACCGAGCTTCGCCGTAGAGCCTTCGATCTCACGCATAAGCCAGAAGGTGAGGACAGCGAAAGCCAGATATGGCTCGAGAGGTTCCTCCGAGCCTTGAGGGCCACATGGCACGGCCACCGCTGTCTCCGACGCCGCGACCTTGTCGAGGTCCACGAAGGGAGCTTGTCTGGGCGGCCCCAAGCCCCGTTCACAACTGCGTTTGGCAGCGGCCATTTCCAAGCTGAGTTGGTCCGTCCACGCGTGCCCCAAGCGAGCGTGTTCCTGCTTCATCGTCTGAAGGTACGTGACCGCGCTGCGGTAGCCAGCGGCCTTCAAAAGCGCTGCGGCGTACCCCAATAACGCAACAGAGAGCGGGCACGGCTCCACCTCCTTGGCCCATGCACGCCTCCGCCACCACCGAAGACGAGCCTCTCTCGAAGCTGTCGTCGAATCCGCGGACTTGCCCCCCTCGTAAGCCGAGATCGCGGAATGCAGATCGGCAGGCTGGCGCTCCAAAGCCATAACTTTCTGCGGGGGGCCCCTGGTACACGGCCTCCTGCACGGCGCCCCCGGCCTCGGCGGCCCGCAACTCCCAGAAGATGCCGAGGGCACAAGTACTTCGTCATGAGCTGGCGGCCGTACTGCCTGAGAAGATGCCCCCTCCACCGGGCCGGCTGGGGACGTGACCGTGCTCGCACTCGGGCAAACTCCAAAAGTCGAACTGCGTCCAGGGATACTTCCACGCCCACGTCCAGAATCGATCAACGCCATGCCCTGCTCCGCAGTCGCCAGCGACAAGCCATGCAGCGCAGGCTCCGGCGCCCTCCGCCTGGGGTGGACACCTTGCCGCACCTCCGCACTGCGGCCAGCGCTGGCGGAGGGGGCGGGGAGAGGGGCGCCCCATGACGTGGCGGGCTGCGCCGGCGGCGCCGTCGTCCTGGGCGCCACCACCTTGGCATCCAGGGGGCCGCCCGGCCAGCGCGCCATCCGCGTCGAAGACCGCCAAAGACGCGCCCTCGAGCCTTGAACCGAGCAGCACGAAATATGTCCTGCCAGGAACACTTGAAAAGGAACACAAAACAACTCCTCCGACTCTTCCACACCATCCGCCCCCCACCCACCCGCCACCGGAGCCGACGGTCGGAAACCGTGACGCCAAGACGGCCGGCCCGCGTCACGGGGACGGCGCAGCGGGGGGGGCCAGAAGAGGGGGGGCCCGGAGGGCAAAGGAGGGGAGAGGAGGGAGGACGGAGGGGAGGGAAGGAGGGAAGAGGAAAGGGGGGAGGAAGCAGCAGCAGGAGAGGAGGAGAGAAGGGGCGGCGAAGTTGGTCCGCCCGCTCCTCGTCCTGCGCCACAAAGCACTTGCGCATGCTTCTCGGAGAAAACAAATCGCACCACGTGCGAATTCGCCTGACGAATAACCGCCCCAATTTCCGCCCCTCCCCAGGGGCGGAAATTTGGGCAGTTATTCCTAAAATGAATGTACACACAAGTATGCGTACACAGTTTCGACCCCAGGAGCTTCACACGAGCGCGGGGCCCGCGCCCAGGTTCAGACCGCGAACCTCCAGGGAGGGCGTCTGCCCCAGACTCGGGCGCAACCCCGGAAGCTCTCGGCGGGGCGCTTTTGAAACACCACACACACACACACACCACGCACACGAGAGGACGTGCAAGTGGACACATGTGCGGGCATATTTTCCTCCCAATGAAGGACACACGGTACGCTCAGCAGCGCTGACGCAGCGCGTCATGGACGCTCAGCGGCTGACGCAGTGCGTACAGGCGCGCCCTCGGCCTGAAATCTTGGCCTGCAGCACTCGCAGACCCAGGTCCTCCACCTGCGGGACCGTGGCCTGCTCCGCCCCGGCGAGGAAGCGGGGGAAGTGGCCGCCGCAGGAGACCCGGCTCAGCGCGTCCGCGAGCTTGTTCTGCTCCGCCCAGATGTGGAGGCCCTCGAGAGCATGGCCCAAGGGGGCCAGGTGGAGGGCGAGCTCCTTGGCCACATCGTTAATGATGGCCGAATCTCCACGTAGCTGGACCAGTGTTGCCAGGACGCCTTGCGCGTCACCCGCAAAGGTGATGCGTCCCCGGACCTCTGGTGAGATCCACAGCTTTGCTGCGAGGAGCATCGCAAATGCTTCCCACGACGCCTGGCCAGCCGGGCTGCCGACCTGCGTGTGCAGGAGCTCCTCGTGCGTGTGGTCCCATGTCACAGCAAAGTACGCGCGCGGCGCTTCGCCAGCTCGGCGGGCCGCCGGCGATGCCCAGCAGCACCCGCCGCCGCCCCAAGGCGAAGCGTCAGTTTCAACGTACAAGCCGTCGTAGAGTCTGTCGACGAGGTAAACATGGCGCGTCAGATGTAAAGGCGCGTCCGTTGCGAAGGCGACCAGCCATCGCAATGCCGGCTCCACCTGCTTGCGGAAGAGGACGGGCGGGTTGCCCTTCCGAGCCTTGGATAGAGCTCCCCAGAGATGCTGGACAAACGGTCGGCCCTGGGGAAGCAGGCCGCCGATCCAGCCTCCGCGGCCGGCCAGCTGCCTCACCTTGGCGACGGGGAGCACTGGCTTCCGCTCCTCCAGCAGGTCGGTGCAAGGCCCCTGACCAGCTCCAACTTCTCCTCAGGCAGCGACACGCTCACGCGGCGCACGGCCGTGTCGGCCTGGATCGTGGCGCCAATCCACGAAACTGAAGTGCCAAAGCTGACCTTCTTCCAGGAGACCCTGAAGCCGAGGAGCTGCCACAGCACAAGTATCTTAGCGAATTCTCTCCCCGCTGTGCGCAGCGAGCCAGACATAGTCAATATAGGGTCGTCCACAAAACACTGAATGCGGCCCTTCTTCTCGCTGAGCGTCGCCTGCGTGAGGCGCATCAGTGCTGCCGCGACGCGGCCCCAGAACAGCGGGCCGGTTGCCAACTCCAAAGAACGCCGTGTCATACACAAAATATCCCCCGCAAGCGTAGCCTGCCAAGTGCTTCTTTTCCCTTGGGTCCGTTCTCAAGAGCTTGAAAGCGTCCTGAAAATCAGCGACCAAGTAGTGCACCTGGTGGGGGTCCTGGACGCGCGCGAACGTGTCCAAGGTATCCTGAATGACGTCGTGGAGCCGTGGCAGAACCAAGCGCTCGCGGAGAAGGATCTTCGAATTGACTCTGCTCCGCCTCAGGTCGTGGATCAGACGGCGCTCTCTTGCCCCGGCCTTCACGGTGATGACGGCGCCGATGCGGGACAAGGTGAGCGGGCCGTGAATCGCCTCCAAGGCGCCCCGGTCTTGGCGCCACGTGGCGTACCCTTTGTCCAGCTCCTTCTGGAACACGGCGTCGGCCTCCTCCCTGTTCTCCTCGTAGCTTCTGTAGTTTACCGGGTAGCCCCAGTCCACGCAGTGCTGGAGGAGGGCGTCGAGCTTCTCCCTGGCCGGCCCCACAGAGGTGGGCTCGGTCTCCGGGAAAACGCCGGAGGGCAGAATTGGCACCTCGATCCCGAGCGGGGCGTAGCGCTGCAGCCACTGAGGAACCTGCGTCTCCGGATCCCCCGCCGCAGCCAGAATGTCCTCCAGCATCTCTCCCTGGGGGCCCTCGCGGTCGCGGTGCCTCACCCCCAGGCGGGCCGCAAGGGCCGCCTGCCCGCTCCGCACGGCAGCAGGAGCGAGGCCTGTCGCCTCTGGGCGGCCCAGCTCCTCGACCACCCTGTCGAAGGCGTCGCACAATCCGCCGGCGACGTCTTCGAGGGCAGCGGCGATCTGAGCGCCGAGCGCCGCCCAGCCGGGCAGCTTCCCCACGCCTCTGTGCGGGTTGCGGAGGCCGCCGATGCACGAAGATGCCTCTCTCTCCCGCCGCTGTCTGGCTGTCTCCTGCTGCGCGGCGTCCTCCTGCCCAGCGAAGACGTCGTAGGTGGTGGGCTGCTTCGCGGCCAGGTCCGGCTGCTTGCTGAGTTCGGCCCTGTACGCAAATGCCAGTGCGCTGCAGAGCCCTTCCGGACGAGACGCCGCCTGTTGAGTCTTCCACGCGGATCCGCCCGCAGGCCCAATGCACCTCCCGCCGAGGCTGGGGTGCACGTGCACCGGGGGCCCCGGGCACCTCTCGGCGAGAGCGCCAAGGAAGGGGGCGTTCGTCAGCTAGCCCGTCGGCTTCCTGTACGGGCAGCCGAACATGCACTGGTCGCACACCACCCGCACGGCACCGGCAATGCGCAGCAGGGAGGCGACGGGCCCGTACTGCCAAGCGCACGAGGCTTCTGGATTCTCGAAGGAGAACCACCCGCCAGCCTTGGCCTGGGCACGACACAGCCTCGCCGCCCTGGCAACCAAGGTGTTGCTGTCGAGCACGTGCTGCGGCTTTGGGGTGCCGCTGGCGGGGCGGGCGCGCCTGCCGGTTCTCCGCGCCTTCGAGAAATCCGCGCAGCGCGGTGCCACGTGGAGCCATCGCACTCGCCGCTGCCGAATCAGGCTGAGAACCCGACGATAATGATCGTGATTCAGAAGGTCCAGAACCTGGTCGCGGAGGCCCGCCGCGGCCTCGAGGCACCGCGCCGCGAAGTGATCAAGATGCAGCCGCGCCACAGCCGCCGTGAGCCCGCCGCCGCGCCCAACGACCTCCAGGAACTTGGGCCTCTCGCGCGGCCCCGGAGGCCGCCTCCGCGAACGGCTCGAACCTGTGCTCGGGGCCCTGGATCGCCCCTGGGCGCGGGCACTCACCCGCGCGCCCCAACGAGCTCGATGCGCCAGTCTGCGCTGTCCGCCGGGCGCGGCTGCGAACGGCGAGCCTCCGCCAGGCGTCACGCGCGCAGATGGGGCGCGTGAGCTCGAATCATCATCTTGAAGTGGCCGTGCTTGTAAAAGTACTGTGGGCGCCGTTTCGGGCGCCCGGGGCCCCGGCGCAAGCCCCTCCGGAGCGGGGCCCGGCGCGGGCGCCGAACCATCTCACTTCTTGCGCCTCTTGGCCCCCCGGCTGGCCGCCGGCGGCGTCCACCCTGGATGCTTCTCCCAGCGGATGGCGCGGTGGGGCGTGCGGCAGAACTCGCGCACGTGCGCCCGCCCCTGTGGGCACGCCTTGCTGGAGCAACCCTCCTCGTGCTGGGCCCAAGCGTAGCATATTTCCACATTGTCCACTGACCGGTAATAGCGCCCATCGGCTCGTTGAGCATTGGGTCCCTTGCCACGTGGATCAATGCCCTTGGCGTCCTTCCTGTCGTTGGCTTTACCCCTGCCGTCGCCCTTCTTCTTGTTGCTGCCCTGCTGCGGCGCCGCCGTGAAGGGCGGCACCTGGGTGTAGGCCGTCCGCTGAACGGGCGCCGTTGCCGAACCGTCCCGGGCAGCCTTGTCGCATGGCTTCTCCAAATGCTTGTACCAAAAGGTGTTGTCCTGGGACACAGCCCTCAGCGCAGCGTCCCATGGCATCTTGGGGTTCCAACTGGACAAGGTGGGCGACTTCTCGTGGAAACGCTCCAGTCGCCGGCGCTCGTTCGCAAGCTGCTCCGACCGCGCCAGAAAATCCGCAGCCGGTGTCAAGTGCCAGCACCCCAGATTGTCGAGGACGCGCTGGCGGAACTCAGCCGCGTACAAAGTCAAGGTGGCCTGCTGGGAGGCCCCCAATGAGAGAGCAGCTGCCTTGTAGACCTCGTACGAGTCCTCCCAGATCTCTAGGGAATCTGGCCCGGGGATTTCCTGCGTCCGCCACTGGCCAGAGGCGTCCATGAAGCTCGCCTTGAATTTCACGTGGCGCTGGAAGCGGTTGCCGTTCGGCCCCCACACGCCGAAGTCCGCAAACGGCACGAAGCCGGCCTCCAGCCGCCGGCCCAACGCCGATATCTGCTCGTCGGTGTAGTTGTGGCGACCCATGGGCTCATCCCCCATCAAGACTATGTAATTGTTCCGGATCTTCTGTAGTTGGGCGTGGCTGTAAAGCTCCACCTCGCCCTTCAGGCCCTGGTCGAGGACCGCGGACAGGTTCACCAAATTAGCGGCGTGCGGCGCCGCCGCCGAACCCGGGGTTGCCGCTGCCGCCGCCTGCGGTTGAGGCGGCTCTTGATCGACCGGCTCAAGGTGCAACCCGAACTTCCGGCGGAGGGCGTTGTAGAGGAGGTTGAGGCGGCCCTTCTGGATGGCCGTGAGGCGTTCGCCAGCCTCCCTGCCCCCCCTGTCGACGCGGGCCTTCGCGACGGCAGACCGCGCCGCTGACGGCGGAAGCGACGCCAAGATTGGCATCGAGGTGAGGTCAGGGTCCCCGAGCTTCGTCAAGACGCTCTTGAGTGCGCCCAGCTCCAGCCCTGCCCAAGCCCGCGCCGCCTCAATCTCGGTCCACTGCTCCATGGCCTCGACCGACGGCAGCACGCCCAGGGACACCATCTCGCGCGAGAAGCCGTAGAGTCCTCAAGGGACGAACCAAACTACGAGGGACCACCAGACCAACCAGCACGGTTCCAGCACCACCACCCCGGGTCGCAGCCACGAGGCAGAGGGGGTGGTGCTCAAAACCATGTTGGCCGATCAGGTCCAAGTAGTTCGTTTTGTCCCCATTTGGGGCTTGGATCGGGATCCGCCGATTGGCGCCCAACCACCCCCCTAAGTCCAGGTAGTTGTCGAAAGTCCTCAAGGAAAGAACCAAACTACCAATAATCACATGTGTCGGTCAACACGGCTCGTGCACCGCCCCCCCCCACAGCAAGGTGAGGGTGGGGTGGTGCACGAAACCATGCCAGCCGACCTGATCACGTGGCTTGATTCTTACCCAAAGGTTGGGATCAGATCGGGATCCGCCCAAAGGCGCCCAATCTCGCTTCCCCCCCTAAGCCTGCCAGCACTCCGGCCCGAAGGGATCCAGAGTCTGGGTCCTATAGCTGGGGGGTTGGCCCTCAGCGGGCCCGTTAACCCCGCAACTCAGCCCCAGCCTCAGCGGCTGTAGGGATCCTGAGCGTGGCCCTCAGCGGACCTAGACAGCCCCCCCCGCCCAGCCCCAGCCTCAGCGGCCATGGGGATCCTGAGCCGGCCTCTGCGGCCCACCCCCAACTAAGGGGTCCCGCGCCGGCCGCGTGGGCCAACAGTGGCGCGACCCTCAGCGGGTCCTCTGATGGCGAAGACCTGGTGCTTGTCCAGGAAGTAGCAGATGTAGCCAGCGCTGCCGCCGGCGAGGAGAGCGAGACGAGGGCAAGGTCCTACCCCCTGTCCACCCGCATGCGGCAGTGCTGATCACTGTGGGCTTGAGCCAAAATGGCTACGGATCCACACCCACCCAACCACCCTGCTAACTGCTTCGCTCGCTCCGTTGTCCCTTCAAACATGCTGTTTTCTACGTCCGGTTGCCGGCCCCGAACGAGGCCCTCGAAGCGCGCAAGTACATCTCGCTGCATGCCATTGGCCGGGCCAGGCTGCGAGTCGTACCCCGACATCCAGTTGATGGCGTCGACGATCCCGTTGACCTCGCACGCAATGCGAGCCTCTCGCCCGAACTGCCTGGCTCGGTAAGACCTGCCGCGAATTCGGCGGCCTGTGGCACCCAGCAGCGGGAGCGGCAGGAAGCTGCGGGCTCCTCGCGAGGGCGGCAGGCGGCCACCGTCGTGCCCCGGCAAAAAGGGCCCGGGGGAGGGGCTGGAGCCCCCGGGCCCGGGGCCAGTCATGGCCCCGCGGAGGCGACGCCCCTGGCCCGGCCGCGCCCGCGGCCGCCTCGGCCGCCACCACGCCCCGCGCCAGCTGCGTCACCTCCAGCTCCTTCTGCTCCTTCGACTGCCTCAAGAGGCGCCCCGCGCAGCGTCCGCGCCCGGTTCTGCGCCTGCTCCATCTCGCGCTGCCCCTTCGCCCGCCGGTGGACATAGCCCCTGAGCTCGGGGCCCGAGACGTCCTCCACCGAGCTCACGCCCTCGAAGAAGCGTGCGTTCGTCCAGCTCGGCTTGGACGGGTCCGCGTAGGCGCCCACAACCGCAGCCACGCGGCGCGTCAGCACCTCCACCATCATCAGGCCGCCCATGTTCAGCTGGTCGTAGACCCCGCCTTGATACAGGGCCTCCACGATGGTCCTCAGCTCGTGCACCACGCGATCGCCTTGGCCGAGCCCCTTCATGCGGATGAAGAGGTCGAGCCAGAGCCGAGGGTCGCCTCCGTGCCTCTCCATGTGCTTGCACATGTGGAGAGCCCCGGGCGGCCCGTCCACCTTCGCGTCGGGGTAGTGCTCCTGCCGCGACTCGCCCACGACGTCTCTCCACCGCTTGAACCGCTCCCCCTGCTCGTCGTAGTCGACCCAGAGCGTGCGAGCGTCAGCATAGCGCTCCTCGCCCGGCGGCTCTGCGGGGGCCGGCAGCGCCAGCTCGGGCGTCGCGGTGCCACCCACGGGCTCGGCGAGCTCCTCCTCCTCGGGCAGGCCAGCACCACCCGCGCGACGGCGCTCTGGGTCCGGGGCCCGCGCCGGGCCCCCCTCCAGGCCCTGCCAGGCGGCCGCCTCCGCGGCCACGCGCGATGGGGCGGCCCCCACGTCCAGCCGGGCGAGCCGCACCATGACGCCGTCGGCAGCCTTCAGAACGCCGAGCGCCTCGGCCCCGCACTCGAAGCTCACGCCGCCCGCGCTCGCCACATCGACCTTCGTCCCGATCGCGACGTCCGGCCCACCGCTGAAGGCGAACCAGGCCTGGCCAGCCCCTGGGGCCTCCAGCAACCGTCCGCCCATGCGGGCCACGGCCATGCCCAGGCGCAGCAGGCGGCCACGCTCCGCGGCTGACATCCTGCCGGCGGCCTCTTGCCAGGTGACCTGCTGGCCGTCTGCGGCCAAGGCCTCCCTCGGCTCAGGCAGGGAGGCGTCCCACTCGAGCGCCATCTCCCGGCCACGCTGCAGCGCGTCGGCCAGCTCGTCGGGCCCCAGCTAATCTCGGAACCGGCACAGCCTCCTCATCTTGCGCGTCCGCACCGCCAAGGGGAAGGCCCGTGAGGGCCCGCTCTCTGGGTCGCTGCAGCTCAGGTCCTCGGGGTAGATGTCCCCGTCCGGGGTCAGGATGACCCACTGCCCGCTTCCCAGGTAGCGCAGCAGCACCCGCTCGTGGTCCACGTCGTCGTCGGCGAAGCGGCAGACCACGCGCTCTCCTGGGAGCGCCCTAGTCCACCACTCCCGCCCCGCGTCGCCGCGGAGCCACCCCACGAGCGCCGCCATTCCGGCGGCCGACGACCTTCGCCGCCAGCCAATGCACCAGGCCGCCCAGCAGCGCCCCCACCAGCTTCTCCGTCGCCCTCTCGCCGGCCGTCGGCACTGGGCACGCCCGAGCCTCGCAGGCCGGGCAAGCCGCGCGCGGCGGCGGCTCGCGCGCCGGGCACGCCGCGCACGGCGGCGGCTCGCAGGCCGGACAGGCGGCACAGGCCGCCGGCTCCGGGCAGGCCGCGCACGGAGCCGCCACGGGGCACGCCGGGCAGGCAGGGCACGAGAGGTCTGGGCAGCTCGGCTGCCCTGGGCCCCAGCCTGGCGCGAAGAACGCCGCGGCCTCCAGCGCCAGCACCACCCAGGCCGGCAACGCGGCCGCCCCCCCAGGGATGGCGACCGCGCCCATCAGCCTCTGGACCAGAGAAGCTATGTGATGCAAGAGAGAGCGGAGCCAAAGGGGCGACAGATTGAAAACCCCTCTTGACTTCCTCCACGTGCAAGCACAAACCATGATTATCCTTAGGTTTTTGAAGGATTTTGGAATTTGCTTCTTCTCGGCATTCCGACGGCCCAAGACGGCCCAAGAAGCCCCCAAGATCGCCTAAGAGGCCCCCAAGATCGCCCCATGACGGCCCACGTGGCCTCCAAGATGGCCCCAAGAGGGCCCCAAGACGGCCCAAGAGGCCTCCAACACGCCCAAGATGGCCTCCAAGACGCCCAAGATGGCCTCCAAGACGGCCCCGAAGCGCCGCAAGAGGGTCCCCCGTGGCCTCATACAGCATGCCACCAACTGAATTGAACTTGGCGAGCAATTATTGCGAGTAGAGTTGTTCCGTGAACTCTGGAACCCATGGGGGCGGGACTTGCCCCCTCGCAACTGATGCGTCAGGAGTCGGCATATATGTATATCACACATGTGCATGGAGGAAGGCCCATGCTTGAGCCAAAACGGCTACGGTGACAACGCTCACGACGCGATCGATTTGCAGACGATCGTGTAATTACACCGGGCGGAACTGAGACAGCAAACTGTTTTTCGATATCGTCTTACACGCTGGCCCAATACGATTTTGCGTCTAGCAACCGCAACAATTCCAAGCGAGAGAACACCTGGCACTCCCATCTCGTCCGATGGCACACCTGGGCGATGCGTGAAACCACTGCGTTCAAAGACTCATCTAAGAAACAGCTGCACATCCTCGGGTTCCCTTTTTGGATTGTATCGAGGACGAGGTGCGCCCAGAGGTGGCGCTTGGGGATTTGGTCTATACGCGCGAGCTCCAGGCGATTATGAAAAGCCAAGAATATGTCTTAGCATTCCTGGCAATTTCCCTCTGCGGATCTGTGGCCCAGCCTCTTTGATCAAAGCCATATACGTCAACAGGAGCCGGCATGCCGAGCTCAGGTTGCCAGCGTCGCGCATGAGGGGGAACTCGCGACACAGCGCAACACACGATTTTACTAACGGTGCAGTCTCGGCTGCTTCGGTGGTCAGGTTACCATCTGGCGCGGACCCCAGCATCTTCAATGTTAGCGTGCCTAGCCTGCATGCTACGTCGATGCCATCCGACACATACCACGAAAAAAAATGTTTTTTTTTTTTTTTTTTTTTTTTTTTTTTTTTTTTTTTTTTTTTTTTTTTTTTTTTTTTTTTTTTTTTTTTTTTTTAAAAAAAAAAAAAAAAAAAAAAAAAAAAAAAAAAAAATGTCTGCACCCCTGCTCCCTGACAACTTCTTGTGCCCCGACGATGTTCCAAGGGCTTAGTTCTAGAATCCGCCAAAATACGCTTGGACCAGGTGTGCCATCGCGCCCAAATAGACCGTGAACCCCCCTGCATGTCCCCCACGATGTCCCTGTCGAGCAATGGGTTTCGATGGTGCGTGGCATCCGCGCAAGCAACCCCGATCGCGTGCCTTCTCCAAAACGTTGGCGTGATCGGGAGATCACACGATTTGAGTGCGTGCGCATCCAAGAGACACTCCGAAGGTTTCAAACGGTCGTCCTTACACAACTTAAACATTGGCAAATATTTCTGCAACGCTCTACCACCGACTCGACGAGACCTTTTATCCTGAAATATGGGCACCAAGTATAATAGACATCTCTTCTGGTGTATGTATTTCGACTTTGTGTTCACAATCGCTGCGCGTCCTATCGTATGCGTCCCCTTGGTTGACGCCCCATTCGTGCCCAGGCAAGCTTACGCCACTGTAATCGTGTAAGTTTTCTTTGCGGGCGCAGCAAAATATGCGCGGAAAGTACTTTGAAGCCCAGCTGGGCAAAGCGAACGACGAGCAAACTTCGCTCCAGCCCCCCTTAACTTGCACCAGTGCCAGCCGAGAAGACAGTTGAGGGCTATCGGCCCCGAGCTTTTTCCATGGCGATCCCTCAGGAAACGCGAGACCATCGTAGAACTTATCTGGACGCCGACCCTGACCTCCTGCACGATACGACCACGCTAAAAATGCATTATTGGATACATCGTGCATCACCCCCTGCACCCACATTTGCACAGCTCGGACTTCCGAGGAAGTCCGAGCAGGTGCCTACGCTGGAATACTGCAGAGCATGCAAAGAATGCAATGCATGTGTCTGAGCGGCCCACTGAAATAGCTCTGGTGTACCGTACTCCGTCAACGTAGAGAACGGATGGGTTGATTACGTCATGAGTCCCCTTGGCGTCGATGACAACTGGGTTCTTGTATTCTGATGCCCAGTCGAGCTCAAGCGGGGCATCCTTTAGTTGCTGCAAGCCCTCGGAGTCGGCCTCAGCAGCCAATGATTCGTGAGGCGCCTTGAACGGGATGTCTCTACACTCTCTGTTGCCTTGAGATTTCATCACAGGGGCTGACAACATCATGGGCTTCAAATTGGTTTGTACATCGAAAAACTTGTTTATCTTACGTTAGAAATGGCCTGTCGTGGAACTTGGCTTGAGAGCGAATTGCGGCCAATCACCTGCCGCACCTGCCTCCTTTGCCCAAAAGCAAGATATGCAAAGGCTTTTTGCTCTCATATACCCTGAAGCATACAGTCCTAGAAGGTGCTCGATCAAACAATTCCCTGCCTCCTCTTTTTGCGCAGCTAGCTCAGCTGCCTCCTCGGCACTCTGAACATCGGATTCCGAACGTCGGTATCCATCAACTGCTGACAACTCAGGGGGTTCGGTGCGTCTACGCTTCACTGGCATCCTTAGTTGACTGAGCCGCAATGCATACGGGTGGGGGACCGCCTCAGGAGCCCTCGAGGGAATGGGGAGCCCCTAACCTACATAGCCTGTAATGCGACCCCTCCATTGAGCGCTCAAAGAGATCCTTATAAGGTTACCATTCGCTGACTGGGCCTCGGAGAACCCCCAACGACATGATATAGTGAGGAGGGTGGGGACCTCGTCGTCGTCGTCGTCGTCGTTGTCGTCGTCGTAGTCGCGTGCGTCGTCGTCGTCGCTCCGTCGTCGTCGTTGTCGTCGTAGTCGTCGTCGTCGTCGTCGTCGTCGTCGGTCGTCGTCGCGAGGTGGTTCTACAGGGTGCCTTAAGGGCCCGAGGAAAGCGATCGGGAGTGGGATCGGGATCGGAAGCAGCACCAGCGCGAGCAGCGAGGAGCACCACTATTGCGCAGATCGTGAGGTGATGCAACTCAGCCTCTCAAAAGCGCACGCGGCGGAGAATTACTCCCCTTCGACGCGTGCGATCCCCGTCGGAGCGCACAAGCAACACGCTATAACTGCACTCATGTCGCAGACCTCCCAAATTTTGCCTTGCTGGAACGTACACACGAACTCGCACAGTGCTCATGAGAGATCATGAGAGATCATGGGAGATCATGTGAGACCATGGGGGATCATGGCATGATGTCGGGTCATTTTAGCCGGTAATTTATTGGGTTTGAGCTCGGTCTCATGAGCGCTCATGGGGGCTCATGGGAGATCATGGGAAATCATGGGGCATCATCGTGGGGTACGTTTGGGACGTTTCGTGAGCAGTTTCCGACTCCAGGTTGCAAGGCTGCCTGCAAAAGAGGTCTGAAAGTTCACTTCGCTCACCTTAAAAGTCAAGCGAAGAGCCCGAAATACAGCGCAAGCGTCTCTCGGACAGCACTCGAGGTCGATAGGGGGACATACCTATGTAAATGTGTATATATATATATATATGTGGGGAGGGTTGGGGGAGCTGGGGACAGACACGCTGAACATAGTGCACGTCTAAACGTGCGCGTCTCCAGCCGCCTTCATCGACGCGACCACCTTCAGGGTGTTGTCCGGCTGCTCCGTAGGGCCGTCGGGCACCGTGGGCGCAGACGCGAGGTTGGCGCACGGCGCGCGGTCGTCATCCGCAGCGTCGGTGATCTCGGGGTCGACCAGGTACATGGACACGAACGCCTCGCTGGACAGGATAGTCTCGATCGTCACCTTGTCGTCGTAGATCGCCGTCGCGTCGGGCGTGCCCTTGGACAGCGCCCAGTCGGCATTGCGCTCGATCAGGTGGAGAACCCTGCTGGCCTTGTTCATCACCGAGCTGCGGCACTCCGCAGACTCCGAAGCCTGACGCGCGGCCCCCTGCCAGCGCTGCACCTCGGGGTCAACGGCCTTGCCGCCGCGCCTTGCAGCAGCTGGGCGCTTCATCGCGCCATTGCCCTTGCCCTTGCCCTTTGCGTTCTTCTTCTCGGTTGCAGGGGAGTCAGTCGGGCCATCTGCAACATCATGCGCAGGCAGAGCTGGCTGCGGGGCCGAAGCTGCGGCGCCGCCCGCGCCGTCGCCCGCGGGAGCTGGCAAAGCCTGCCCGTTCTCGGGCGCCTTCAGGCGCAAGTCCTTCTTCATGATCTCCTCCTTCTTGATCATGGGTATCCAAACTAATATCCTCCTCCTCCTCCTCCTCCCTCCTTCCCCCCCTCCCCCCCCCCCCCTCCTCCTACTCCCCCCCCCCCCCTCCTCCTCCTCGCCCCCTCCCCCCCCCTTCCCCCCCCCCCCCCCCCCCCCCCTCCCCCACCTGAGGAAGAGGGGGGGAGGGGATGCGGAGAAAGGAGGATGGAGGTTGGAGGATGGAGGATACGGTTAAGTATCAAACGTAGGAGGGATGCATTTCTGAGAACTGCCCAGTCCTCCACGCCATGGAGAAGACCTCCACGAACCGCTTCCGAATGCACATGCACTCGACGCGCTGCGAGAGCTCGTTGCGCCCCACCAGCCCAGCCACGGGCATGCCTGGCAGTACCTCCAGACACCTTGTACTGCACTCATGCTATGAGACCCCCCCCCCTCCTTCTTGACGATGGCGTCAAAATTGAGGAGGGCCCCCCCGCTCCTTCGACTCCTGCCTGAACTCCGTGATGTGCACCCTCGTCTTCACGTAATCCTGATACTCGCCCTTGGCCCACTCGGCGCGCATGGCGGCCTTGCCAGCAAGGGTCTTGCCCTTGTACTTTTTACC